AAAAAGAATTTTCCAAATTTGTTTACAATTGACAGAGTTATAAGGTAACAATCATAAAAAAATACAACTGACTTGAGTACCTCCTTCTATTTGAAGTAGGTAGAATATAAAAAAAAAACATATAATTATTTCATTTGAACCACTGTAACTTTGTTACATTACATAATGACATTGCTATCATTGAATTAATGCCCTTATATTCTGCTAGCTCTATATTCAAGATGTCTTGAAAAATATACACAGGTAAAACATATTTTTAAATAATATTTTAATTAAATTTAAACCATAATCTGCTATTTCAAGAACTAAGCTTTTTATAATATAATAAATGCGAAATTAAGTTCGTTTGCTACCTCTTTGCGTCAAAAGGGTTCAACTAATCGTCGATTAATTTAGAGTGTAATATTTGGGATGAAGCAGGACTTAGACTGGAATAACTAGTCGCACGCAATGCTGACCTTTTACAAATTTCTCTAATTACGTTACTAGCATTAAGACCGGCTTTTATACCATATTTTCATTAGGTGAAGTTATTTAAATAAAAAAAATAATTGTGATATCAATTCTTCTGCTAAACGAACAATTTGCATTTCCAATTTCTGTTTTATATTTTACCATAAGCATTCATGTTAGTATCATTTTAATCATTGTGTTGTTGTGTCATCTTTTTTCTACTGAAAAACTTTAAAGCTAATATAGTTCATTCATTTTCATTCTGAGATAAATACTGTCACTTAATGCTAAAACAAAAGAAATATTAAGAAGTAATTTTTTTTACAATGTATACTACTATATGCACAACATTGTTGTTGTGTGTTACAAGTATATCGTTTTCAACATACACTGTAAGTTCATAAAAAATGTATATAATTTTTAAGAATAATATAAATACAAATTTATAAAAAACTAACAATCCGGTCAAGTTTCGCAAGGATAGATAGAAATTCCGAATGTAATAGTTACTCGCTGACAATGTCAATCGCTTTCTATAAACGAAATGAATTTTAAAATCTTTTGAGTAGTTTTGAGTTTACACATTACAAACAAACAAATAATCAAATGTTTCCTCTTTATAATATTAGTATTAACTATAGCTAATTAGATCAGTTCAATAACAAATAAACTAATATTAAATAAATAATAATAAAAATGTTTAAACAAATATATATTGTTACTGAAAAGAATAACGTTAGAATACTATCTAGTTTGACTTACATAAATTTTATTTTACTAATAACTAATAACTAGACATAACTGGCAGTATCATAGCGAATCGAAAAGTGAGGGATCATAAATCTATATAACCCTAACAATAACGGAGGGGTTTTCATATTAGTAATTCGGAGATATTAAAGTGATCTACGACCACCACGTCATTCTAATATAAAAAGAAATATACAATTTTAAACCTTATTAAAGTCTTTAGGTCTACTTATAGTTTCGCGTCGTATGTTTTATGATTTATGAGAAACACGAAAATTCTTAAATATATATATATATATATATATATATATATATATATATATATATATATATATATATATATATATATATATATATATATATGAACCCAACACACAGACTAAAAGATAAAAAAATCGTGTAAGATGAATCGAGCTTTTAGCCGCAAGAAAAAGAAATCTTACTTAAATCCATTTACAAAATTTCCAGTTTCTAACTAAATAATCTTTAGGCATTATTAAATTATGTTTCTATTAAAAATAAACACTCAAAATCCGTATATAATTGGCGAATTTATAAAGACCTCAGTCTGTTTGTAAAAATAAATGAAAAATAAATATACTAAAAAGAAAGAAATGGACGTAAAATCTTTCCGTCTTCATAAACACAAATCAAGTTCAATAATAGCTATTAGGTAAACTTAATAATATTAAAAACTCACAATGTTTTATAAAGACTATCAATTGATGTAGATATTAGATACACCATTAAATACAAGTACATAGTCTAATAAATATAGCATGACAATGAAAAAGCTGACTAGATTATTCCTAAGCTAATACGATATATTCAAAAATACCTATTTTAAAAAGATTACACATTACATACCCATTATAAATAGAATTGGATACATTAAAGAATTAAAAGGACATATCCTACATTGTCTTATATACAAAATATCTAACAAATTTGCTTTGCATTTTTTCTACCATAACACGATACTTAACTTCATGTAGTTACCAAATTATACCCAAGCATTCTACAATATGTACTTGTAAAATTTTAATTGTACGAAGTAAAAATCCTAACACTGTGAGATTTTTTGCAAACATTAATTATATGATTTCTGACTGTCAAGTCTGCTGTACTCAACTCTGAAGTCTTTTAATTTCTGTAACTCTCTTTATTATTGCTTCGTCTATCGTACAGTCGTAATGTTTGGGATTATGTGATTTAGTAATTGATTTTTTTTAGAACATTTGTATTCTTTGTATGTAAAATTCGAGCCTGAATAGTTGAGTTTGAGTTAAAGGAATTGTTTAACACGATGACCACCGCCATATATAACTGTTTAAAAAAAAATTAGTTCGTGTACAAATATATAACGATATTCATTTAGGTTATACTAGCAATGATAATTCCCATTTTTTATAAACCATAAATTATACGACGCGAAATATTTTTAACATCTACCACACGTATAGAATTATTCGCTTGCTATGCGAAACGTATCTATTGCCCGATTGCCATCGCATTTAATATATATAAAAAATACTGATTTCGATTGTGTCTTTAACACAGATAGGTATTTAGCGCTATTTTAAGAGGGACGCTATTGACCATCCCTCAACCATTAAGTTCCCTTAGTTGCCTCTTACGACACTGACGAGAAAGGAAGGGGTGGCTTATTCTGTGCCAGAACCATTTTTACATTTATATAAACAAAAAATTATAAACGAATATCAGGCGAATTTCATAAATTTATTATTACCAGACAAACATACTGTTTAAACTGAATACTGTTCTCACATATGGGCAGGAGCGCCACAGTACCAATTCCTTTCGTTAGACCGCATTCAAAGTCGGGCAGCTCGAATTGTTGACGATTGGCGTCTTACTGTCCGCCTCGACCCACTGTGTGCGTATAGATGTTGCATCTCTGTGCATCTTCTATCGAATTTATCATGAGGAGTGCTGTGAGGAATTGTTCGGATTGATACCCGCTGCTGATTTTCACCATCATACAACCCGCCATAAACTAAACTTTCATCCCAATCATCTGGACCACCATTCTGGAAGACCATCATCTCCACCGTACGTTTTTCAAGGCACTTTCTTCCACGACAAATACTAAAGACCTAAATATATCGCTTTCACTAACGATCTCGGAGTCTCGACTCCTACCGCAGATAGAACATGATCTATCTTACCATATTAAATAGACCGTGTTCTCTATCTGATTAGGGAATATCTAAATAAAAAACACACAGACTTGTCCACCGATATCTGCAACTATCCACTTTCGCTTTGTATAATCTGTTTCACCAACCTTTCATCTGACATTTTTTCCACACTCCCGTTAGTTTGTTAAACATTTTGAACATCGTGTTCTGTTATCCTAATTTAATTCAAAAACATCCACCCGCGTAACTTAGTATTTGATATTATCATGATTTTATTAACCAATACAGTTTTTGTATTGTAAATTGTATTTATTCATGGAAATGTGAGAGGAATTGCGTCAACTGTGAAGCGAGTGCGTCATACGCTAGCCACTGATATCCACCAAGTTTCTCTGGTTACCGATTATATAAGTAAGAACGCCGAACTGTAAGTCAGCCATGGAACTACCTACCTACTAGTTTCAGTTTTCATTATGAGACCATACGAGAAATGATAACGCTTATACGGTCATCATTATTGACATAATTAATCATACATTAATGTTGAAAAAATTAAAATCTTTACATTTTTATATTTCACCCAACTACTAAAACAAAAAGGATATTGTTTTTTGAACTTATGTACTCATATATATATATATATAGGTACCTACTTCATTATTTCCTATTATTTATTTTATTTTTATTGCTAGCATACTAGTAGGGGGAAAAGGGATTATTAATAATGGGATCTAACAGCCCCATTACTAACAATATATATATATATATATATATATATATATATATATATATATATATATATATATATATATATATATATAACCTATCAGGTCGACCTCCACGTGGTTTCCCCTGGAAACCATCGTGGTTAATTCTTGTGAAATTCATCACGATGGGCCAACTGCCCTGCTTTCATCCTCACCTGTCATCTATCACTCGTGCCCCGCCAGCGTATACCGATAGCGCAGGCGGGGTCACTATTTCATTATCAACCATAAAAAACATATTTAATAGGTTACTAACCCCCTTATATATAAAAACTAATACCAATTACAAACTTATTTTAACTATAGAACTATTTTGTCACTTTCTTTCCAATTGGAAATGTAGCATAAAAGAATGAGACAAGAGAGTTCAATAGCTAAAATAGATTAATTATAAGAAGTATGACGTTTTTAAGAATTAGAGTGTAAATGTATCTACCTAAAATACAACTAAATACCGATACAATAGGCCTGTCAGTGTAGTGATCTAGGCAATCTTACATGTTAATCTAGCTAGCACTACCTATTTAAATACAAAAATTTGTAATAAATGTATAAATATACCTATATCTACAACCTATAATAATTACTGTATCTAGAAATATTATGCGTTATCGACATTTAATATTTATATTTAGTACTTCTTATTGTAAACTAACAAAGTTTCTTCTGTTATGTTTAAATTTATAGATCTGACTAAGCAATGAGTCTAGATTTTAGTCAAAAAGCATAATACGGTCTAGATTTTTTCGCTACAATATTTTAAATATTTTTCGTAGATCAATTGTAACTTCCTTTTCATATACTCAGCGCCTATAACATAATATAAAAATGATACATATTAAACTAATTTTAATTTAACTTTTTACAGTATAATGCACACCGCCTGCTCAGCATCTTATAAGTGACTAATACAGTTCACTTGTGGGGAGAGATTCGTGTCTAGTAGTGGAACATAACAGGTTGTCATGGTGATATGGTCAGTAAGATAATCCACATGGAATAATAAACCTTCCATTAATGATCCAGGAATACCTATTGCTAATAGAAACAGACATCATAGTCGACTAATGGAAACAACGTTTGAACAGTTTGAAAACCTTACCATCTAATATTTCCTTCAATTGGAAACGCACTCGTCTCTAAGAACTGACAACTGCAGCCTTCTTAGACAAGTGGTAAAGGAATCTATCGATAGAATCGTTATCGCTAAAGCGAGTCCGGGAGATAGAATAAGATGGCGTCTTTCGATGTCTTTTCTTTCTTATGTAAACGTTAACGTAGCAACGTAGGTTCGTGCATCAATTATCTAGAGGGCTACGAATCCTGTCGTCGGATCTATCTGAAGACTATCATTATCATATCAGCCGTTAGCTGTCCACTGCTGAACAAAGGTCCTTCCCCTATTGGGAGGGTTTGCCACTAGTTACCACGCTTAGCAGGCTGGTTAACATCCGTACTTGGGTGATGCGAAGTGACCTGACAATAGGTAAATAGTATATTACAGACTTTTATTTAAACACTAAAACTAATGAAAATATGTATAGCTTTATAGCTTCAGTTGGCTAAATATATAATTACATTATATTACATGTATATGTAAATTTACAGTTGTAGGTATATATTTGCAAGACGGTTGTTACAATAAAGTAACTATAAAATGAGTAGACCATGGAAGACCATGTTTTACCATGGTTTAAGACCGATTATTATAAGGTCACTTTTATAGTTATCCATAATGGAGCCTACAGCCACCTTTCAGCCATCGACAGGAAATCGATCCTCACACACTTGAACCTAAATGGCCACGTACAGTGCGGTTTGAAAGAAATTTTCAGCCGCGAATGCTTAGGCTGTGGAATGAGCTCCCTGCCGAACTTATTTCCTTTCCTCCCTGCAGAGGTTTTCCCTTGAGACTACAGTAAAACCCTATTCTACAAAAAAAAAGGTATATTAAGGTTTCTTCAGGATCGGCAACGCGAACGTGGCACCTCTAGTGTTGCAGGCGTCTATAGGTTACAGTAACCGTTTACCATCAGACGGGTTGTATGCTTGTTTGCCAACTTTGTAGTTATAAAAAAATATTCTGACAAATTCCTTTACACCGGACACACAGATAGCCGGTGAGTCGCTTGCGTCGGTATTTTGCCTGAGGTCCCTTGTTATTGTGAGGAATTTGTTAACTTCGTTCGTCAAAGTTAAAATAACTTCTAATGATAAAACATAAATTTTCAAGTAAACTATTATTTTTTTTAATTTTTCACTCTAAATTGGTACATAACGATATACAGTAGTTCTAAAAAAATCATTTTAGTTAAAATATTTGTAGCGCTCCTAGGAAAGTTAGTAGTTGTAAAAATGTGGAATTTGCTTGCAAGTATATTCTGTATACTGCTTGATATAATAGCTACCACTAATTTCACTTTTTGGCAGCTTTAGGAAAATTTTTGCCTTACAAAAAATAAAGCCATGTTGATCAGTTATATTTATGTGAATTTAATATAATTGATGAAATGAAATATAATATTAATATGTTCCATTTCAATAAAAGACCTTTTTGTAGATTTAGTTTAAGTATAAGCAGATATTCTGATTGTCACAACGTTATTTTAAAGTTAAAATGGCCTTGCATAGAGCCTTGTTCCTTGCAAGGCCGTTTGGAAGAGTTTAATAAACCTTAAATTTACTAAATAACCATAAGCTGTACAATAAAAAAAATGTTTTATAAGTTACATAATGAAATAAAGAGTTACTTAATAATTTGTTTGTGTCATTTATCTAGTGAATAAAGAAATAATAACTGTTTTTTTTTAATGTGGCCTTCTATAGTCCACCCACCTTATATAAAACTAGATAAGTTATCTGGTTACCCCATAATATATATTATAGATCTATTTTTTAGCTATTGATATTTACCAATTTTTGTGCAGAACACCGACTATTGGCGGTCACCCATAAATAAGTATAAATATACTACAATACTAACCAGCCTGGCAAGCGTGGCGATTACTGCCCCAAAACTCTTGCTGCAAAACCTCGACTTTGTACAAAAGTCGATTGCTTGGGTCCCTCTGGTAAATATTCATGCCAATTCAACCGCTCGAGACCTTTGTTTTTTTTTTATGGATGATAATAGAATGGTAACCCCACCCGCGCTATCAGTATACACCGGCGGGGCACCAGTGAAGGATGATAGATGAGGATGAAGCGGGTCAGTTAGCCCATCGTGACAAATTCAAAAAGAAGTGTTCACGATGGTTTCCAGGGGAAACCACGTGGGAGTCGACCTGATTGCTAGCAATGGAGCTATCAAAGTCCATAGCTAACAATTCCTTTCCCCCCGCAGTTTTTATTTAGGATATACCTCCGATATACCTAATTAAGATTTTGTACTACAAAACAATTTACTTAAATTGGGATGAAATCAGGACATATGAGACTAACAAGGATCAATATGATTAGCTGATAATGGAATGATAACCCCGTCTGCGCTATCAGTATACACTAAAGGAATATCAGTGAAAGATGAAAGGAATGGATGAAACAGTTCAATTGACCCTTGGTAATGAATTCATAAAAAAAAGAACCAGATTTCAGGGAGAACCTCGTGGAGGTCGATCCAATATGGTATAAAATAGCAATAAGGCTGTTAGATAACATTAATAACAAATAAAAAATATAATTACTATTTCATTTTCATCTATAAAAAAAAATCAGACATTGATGTGCTTTTTTATAAATGAATACAGAAACCTTGGCAGATATTTTAATTTAGAACGTGATATCACGTGGCCACAAGTAAATTTTGCTTTGCAAAAAACTGCAATGCGGCTAAACATATTGTTTTATTAAAGATAATATGCATTTGTAGTCCGATTAAGACCTGTTACTATGTATCTAAATAAATTATTTACTGTGGGGTGTGGGTATTACGAAAAAATTAGACGCGGTACACCCACACCTACTGAGATCCACAACTACCTACTTATCAGTCAGCATATCCATACTGACTTGTCGCGGTAAATCTATTAATAAAATATTAATAAATGTGAAAATAAGTTTGTTAGTTACCAAATTTTGTATATACGTACAATATGGGATGAAAAAGGATATAGGTTATTTTTTTTATTTTGGTCAGTAAACACGTCACGCGGACGAAGTCGAAGGTAAAAATTTGTAGGTATTTCATGATAAATAGCGTAGGCAGCGTAAGTGTACTTAATTTATAAAAAAAAAAACTGACAAAGTCATATTGACCTGGCACAGTATTAATGTTGCCTACTAATCCAAAAAGGCTGGGGGGAAAAGAGATTGTTAGTAATGGTGATTAGCAACCCTTTTACTGCTAGCAATATAACCTCTCAGGCCAACCTCCTCGCGGTTTCCCCTAGAAATTATCGTGATTGGTTTCATGGTTCTTGGTTGGTTTCATTCATTCATTGGTTTATTTGTCACGATAGGCTAACTGACTTGCTTCGTCTTCACTTATCATCCCCACCGGTACCCCGTCAGTTTATACCTATAGTGTAATCAGGGTTACCATTTCATTATCATCCATTAAAAAAACTTAACATATTCTGGTACCAACGAATCTTTAATAATAAGTTTTTAATAATTTGTATTATATGTAATATATTAAACAATTTAGCATATTCGCAAATTCCTGAACGTTTCTTGCAAATTTTTAATTTATTTTAACCCGAAAAATTGATATTATTTTAGCAACACTGTGAAATTTTTTGTTCTTGTCAATGTAACAGTTAAGCTGACACTTGACATTGACAACGACAACCGAAAACGATGAGGTTATGTTGTGCTTTGTACTATATTAGGTTAGAAAATATTTTAATAGTATTAAATAATCACTCAGACAGGATTATTTATTCATGTTTGAAGCAATATTAGCAGAAACTAAAATTTGTTATTCCAAAGTGATCATAATACTTGTGGACGATGGAGACAACAGAATTCGATGCCACAATAGGTGGCGAAGTGCATCTTCCAAATTCAGTGAATAGTTTACAATTTGCAACATCTAGAAGTGTAGAAATAGCTGCTATGACCGAAAGTATTCTTAATCCAAGCAAAACTAAGCTGATATTCCAATGCCTACCGGTACACATGAGACGTCGAGTTATGAGCCACAACTGTAAACGTCTGCCTAGGAGACTGCGCGAAGGACATCTAGAACAACTGAAAAAAAGTGGCTTACCTCCAAAACAAAAACGACCTCCACGGAAATACAGAAGACGTCCAGGGAATTTATTAGAAGAATATAACAGACGACAAATGCAAAATATTTGGCTAGAAACTCACATATGGCATGCTAAAAGATTCCATATGACCAAAAGGTGGGGTCATAGGATAGCTTATGCCCCTTGTGATAAAGCATTCAGGGCTTGTTATAGAGCAAGTTCAGCTCATTGTCTTATACAAGACATTTCATATTATACATCAATACAAATAACAGGACCGACTGATATTATAAAAAGCTTGTTCAGTTCAATAACAAGTCCTTGCTGTGGTCTTGGTATATGTGCTAAGGCATACATTAATGGAATTAGAGAAGGATCAATTCATCTCTACAAAGCAAATTCATTTCCATTAGGATATATTGGAAAAATACAATTTATCTGGATTCAAAGTGAAGATACAAACAAGACACTGTTTTTATTTGTTCATCCCTCTCAAGCAAAACAAGTTAGCACTATTTTAAAAGAGATTTTGAATGGTGATAATAATACTGATATTTATGAACACTGTGAAAAAAGAAGGAAACTGACTAATAATTACTTAGAAAAAATTCAAATAAAGATTATTCCTGGAAGATTTAATAGATTTCGACTGACAGGGCCAAACAGTCATGCAATATTAGCTCGAAGCCTAAAATGTGTAGAAAATATAGAGAAATTGAAAAGTAGCAAATGGACTTCTATTGTTGATGTAAATAAATTACATTTAACTGAAAAGTTTGAATACTGGAAAATGATATCCAATGCACACGCCCCATCACAATTACCTCCTTCTATAGTTATTGGCCTTATTGTCAAAGATCCTCGATTGAGTCGTCCATCACATCGTACTAAAGCTAAAAGTGATTCACATGAGATTATTAATACAGAATGTTTACTAACTACTCCTAAAACAGTATCATATTCTCCTTTATGGGATACAAACATACAGGAAATTATCACAAAGGAAAAAATGAACAATTCTGATTATATAAAACATGTAACAAAAAATCAATTGGTGCCTGGAGAAGTATTTGAAGATGACCCAGCACTACAATGTATTCCTGTTGTTTTAATACAGAGACCTGGATCACAAGTTTCCAATTTCAAAAAGATTGGTACTTAGTTATTTTCATTTTAAAATGTTCGCCGTGTGTGCCCCGGCATATAATGAGCGACCCTTTCATTTCCCATGGGGGTCAACTAAGGGAGGGTGAGGGATGGGCAGCAGTGTCCCTCTTAAAACATGTCTTAAAGCTTACCTGCGGCCAATTCGCCCACCAAGCATGGCAACTACTGGCTAAACTACCCTTATGGGAAAGGCTTATGTCCAGCAGTGAACAGTTAACGGCTGAAATAATAGTCAAAAATGGGATATAATTTATATTTTTTTCTAAAAAGGACTGATGGTAAAAAATAATTGACTATCTACTATTTCAATATTATTTATTAATTTAACTAACATTTCAGGGTATGGAAGTGGTTGGGATGTCATTATACCATCAGGGTATGGTATCCAATTTTGGCAAACATTTATTATGTTTGGTGCACGATCAGGAGGTCTTAGAGAAACTGAAAGTTTAGCATTTGAAATGGGAGAATGCTACCTACCACCCGACTCAGATGCGGGACAGGAAGAAGAACGAAGAATATACTTAGAATTGGAAGATAAATATTTTAAACGTCCTCCAAGCAAAAGAGTCAATTTTATAAAGTTGGGTATAAATAGCCCTTTTATATGCCACTGGAAGTTATTGCTTAAAGATTGGTGTAATGTTGAAAATCGTAACTTTGATAATTTCTTTGTATTAAGGGACAGAGAACTTCTCGTAAAGTTTCAGGTGCGTCATAATAGTTAATATGTTAGTTGTACTATGTGGTTTATTTGTATAAAGATGTTGATCTGCCACTTAAACTTTCCTACTTATAATTAACCCATACGGGATGTAGAATGAAGAAACAGGTCCAAGTCAAACACATAAGTCCCGCCGCGGCGATACGATCCTGCTGAATTACATACAAGTCATAACACAAATCGACCACTTTAGAATCTGTATCTACTATCATCTTTCTGATAATTCTTCAAGACATTTATTAATTTTTTGCTCCCAATACATGACGTCTTTGAAGTATTTTTTTACTTTCCTTTAAGAATGGGGCATTTTGTACAGTAAAACTATCAAAAAACAATATAACATCTATTCAGTAGTTTTTGCGTGAAGCGTGCACAGTCATGGTCTAGTTACAGTTAACATGTATGTAATGTATTTATTATATGTATTATAAACGCACGCCATACTCGCTACATCATATAAAATACCAGAGCATTGTCACTAGACTTTATTTATCACTAAACTGGTGTTGTTAAGTATTAAACTAATAATTTTTCAGGACTGCATAAGCCGTAAACAAGAACTGCCGCAAATAGAGTGTGCTGAAGAATGTCTTGTGGCGGTTTATATACGGATTGCTAATAAAGGATTCTTAAAAAAACATGCTTTAATATGTTTGCCAGAGAATGGAGATAGTACCAACAATATGTTGGTTGAACCAAGACATGATGATCAGAATGAAAAACTGAGAAAGGAAAAGCGATTAGAACACAAAACAAATATGAAAAGATTGAGAAGAAAAAGAATAAAACTTAAAAAGAAAGCAACAACTGTAAGTAAAATATATTGTTTAGTATTGTTGATTACTAATATATATTGTTGACTACTAATGCGTAAATTATATAAAACATTATAAAGTTTGATCTATTATGATCTAGCACTCTTTTAAATTGAAGCCTTCAAATATATATACGGATTAAAATATGGCAATTGTTGAGGAATGAATTTCCTGTTTTCAGGTGATTAAATTCATGAACCGTAATTTTTATAGATCTACTAAAGACTATGTAGTTACATACACATATTGTTGTATTGTTTTAAAAATAATATTTGTTATTTTTCGCGCTATAAGATTAACTTAAAAATATAAAGCTATTTGATATGATACAGGGGGCCACTTTTTGAGACACCGTGTGACTCAATCTCAGGCATAAAGTGGATTCAGGCGCATTTATTGGTTCACCAATCTTAAGAAATGGCCCATTCAAATTTATAGTAACCCCATTGATTTACTTTTTCAATAATAATATATTTGATTATTTCCAGGCTATTTTAAAACCACAAAAACGTAAATTGGAGCCATCAGAATATGTGAAGTCAATGAGAGATTTATGGCTTCCCGTCGACGTAAAAAGTGTACGCCGTACTTGTTCCAGACAAATCATGGGTTATTTGACACAGGCAGCATTCAGTTTCTTAGAAGCACGGTCCTGTGGAATAGGCTATGTTACTTATAATGCATTAAATACACTATTAAAGTGTGGCTATAATGAAATATTAGTTAGAAACACAACATCCAGAAAATACAGATTGGCTACCTTACAAGTTATTCAATAAAAGTAATAAAACATAGATATTTTTATAAAATCTTGTATTCATTTTATTGTTGTTTCTTACACTGATATTACTAAGAACCTACTAACATGGGTTTCGTTTTGTGATGATCAAATAATACGAAAATATCCACTTTAACTCTCAGTCAAAATTTTTCTTTTTTCTCTTTCGTATACATATAACTAGATTAAAAAGAAGAAATAAATTACATATCGTAAAAATGCCAAGTCAAGAGAATTATAACTTCAGATCAGAGACAATGCATGATTTATAACGGACTATATACATACATCACAAATATCTTAAATGCTTATTTGTACGACCTCAACAAATTACAATGTTCCTACACAACATGAATTACGAGATAGGCCTAAAATAAGTCACGACGACAAACCCGTAACGTTACAATCTGTCGCTGCAATTAAAGCTGGGCCCGGCTATTTATTGAACTATACACAAGCTACAAAATTCCATATCATTTCAATGATATCAGTTATATCTTTGATCTCTTCCTAGCTATAGCATCTTCGACAGCCTTCAGTTGTTTTAAAAGTTCTTCTCTTCTTGAGACAGATTTTTTAGCTGCCGTTGCATTCGGTGGGGACGCTGCTGCACGTTTTTTTCCGATCAATTCTAAAAAAACATTGTTTGGTTATTAATTGGAAGTATTCCAGGAAAAGTAATTATGTATGCTACAACTTTATTTTGAATCTTATCCACTTACCTTTCTCACTTGGCGCTTCCTTTTTATTTGCCATGGTCGACACTGCAACTGCTAAACCAGCACTCGACTTTGTATTTAACCTGCAAATACGCTGTCTATAAAAATACGCCAATATACTGAAAATGACATATTTTTAGCATAGTTGACACAACTTCTACTATATTATAAAACCATGTGTAATGAATATTTTTAATATCATTCTTTTCAATCACGATCATCAGGCCTATTCTTAAATTTAATAACGATATTTTGTACTGCACTTATGAAATAACAATTAGGAAATAAAATTGGGATTGGTTTGCAATAGTTTGCATTGGCAAATTGCACTAATATGCATCTATCAGAACAGTATGGAATCATTATGTCGTGATTATTGCAATTCGAGAATATGAAACGTTTCAATTCCAATATTGATTTTTTGGAATTTATTTCAAAAGTAAGCCCACTGATCGCACACGCTCGTAATCAACAAAAAAAAAAAAATAGTAATAAATTCTACTTTATTCAATTTCCGTCAGTTTCATTTCATTATTATTGAAAAAAAAAGAAGAATGTTTTGGGCTGGGATAGATATTAAAAAAAACTTACCTAGGCCTCGCGGCAGCGTTGAGGAGCCTCGCGTGTCTTGCACGCCGAGCACCCGAGCTACCCGAAGAGGATGATGAATGTGACTCGCTCTCTGACTCGCTTGATGATGATGACGATTCTACAAGATAAAACACAATAATATGATTAGCAGAGATCCCTTTGTTACGCTTTTGCAGCTAAAACAATGAATTAATTTGCATAAAAATCGGTAGTAGTAGTATTTAATATATTATTACATAAAAGTATTTATTTAATAAGCTGTGTAGGCCCCGATATAGAATAGGCCACCCCTTCCTTTCCCGTGGGTGTCGTAAGGGCCCACTAAGGAAGCTTATGGTCGAGGGATGGACAGCAACATCCCTTTTAAAACATTACCAAACTGCGGTTGCCAATCCCGCCTGCCAAGCGTAGCAGTTACTGGCAAAACCCTTCTTATGGGTTAGACTATGTTCAGCAGTGGAAAGTTAACGGCTGATACAATAAAATATTATTTAATAAAATACTATTACCACTTTTATTACTTAATTCGTCATTTTAATTATAAGTAAATATTACCTGAACCAGATGATGATGATCTCGAATATTTTTTTCGGTCTCTGTTGCGACTGGATGCTTTGCTGCGCCCATATGGATCCAATTCGTCCTAGACATTATAACGAAAATTATATCTCAAGTCATACTATTTTTATTATCAAGTTACACCATTTTTATTAATAACTAGCTTTTTGCTCGTTACTTCATACATATTAGATTATTCATAAATTTCAGAAGTAGGAAAACCACTTAAATAGACTACGCCTAAATAGCGGATCGAGATAAAACATACACCAGATTTTAAGATAGACCATCAAGAACACGACTATGAATATGGTATAATTCGTTGATTAAATTGTAAGAGTGGCAACACCGAAAACGATGTCAGTGCGAATAATGTTTTTACATAACACATTTTTCCTCAATATAAACGTGCTAAGTGTAAGGAGAACAAGTCACTAGAATTCAAACGCCATTTCCGCTATGCGTTTGTCACTATCACTTTATAAATATGAAAGTGTGTATATTTATTTCCACCTCTTGTCGCCTTAAGGGCTTAGTCAATCACTAGGGACATAGGCTACTTTTTATCTTAGTCAGTGAATATATAGTCGATGGTAAAAACTAGTTATTAATTGAAATAGGTTATGCAATAAGAATACAATGTGTCTCCATTTCATCTCGAAAATGTTGTAAGAGGTGAACTAAAAGAACAAAGCACAATACACTGGTTAGAGAAAAAAAACTCGTAATAAAATTCTATACTTTATCTTGTATCTATCAAAAACGTTATAAAATATATAGTCTCTCAGAACACAAACTAAGCAGAATGTGTAGAATGGGTACTGGACAACTTATAGTAATATATAAGTACTTTTTTTATATATAATATAATTGTGGTATTAATAAATAGATACCTTGTGTCTATGCGAAGCAGGCGGCGGCGGGTTTGCAGCGAGCTGTCGCGTGGCGGCAGGTGAGGGAGCTCGCCTCCTCGGCGCCGGAGGGTTCATGGCGGTAGCGCGAGCAGATGCCATGCGTCGCTCGCGGACTATCACCGATGGTGACAACCTGCAGTCAATGATGGAATTTCATATCAATCTTGTCGACATGTGAAAAAAAAGATGTTTGGGTGTTTGTTACTCGATCATAATTTAATGAAATTTGAGAGACAGAAGAATATAACTATATAATTATATCTTGGATTGACACAGGATACTTGTTGTGCTAATGGCAAAGTCGCTTACAGCTATGTTTATACATAACTAGAATAACAAATCTCATTAAAAGTAATTATATATAGTCGAATATTGGTCCACTTTTTTTAGAATTAATTTAAAAATAGATACTATTCAAATTCTGAAACAAAAACTCGGTATCACTATCCAAGATATTTGCTTAACAAATTGCTTATTTTACAAGTAACGTGATATGATAATATGAATAAATTATTATTAATAATGATAACATAAATAATGTGTGATTATGGAAAAAATTAAAAATGGTTTTATTTTATAATAACACAAATTAAAATCATAAGACGAGATATGATTTGGTACACAAATAAAACTAATACAAACTACATTTACTCAAATTAACGTCAAATAGTCTGTGCATAAAATATTGGAGAAACTTAACTTTTAGGCTAGAAAACAGATCATAACCTCGAGATAGAATTACGAAAAAGTATCATTGGAAATAACATTGATATAGAAGAGACAGAACCTAAGAACAGACCAGAGCCCATTTAAAAAAACACATGTTCCTTGCCATACAGGCATAATTGCCTGACTTTCTAATCAAACTTGCATAAATGTCAAATACTAGGTGAAATTTAAATCTATAAATTAATTTTAAGAATGTTCTGCCAGTGAAACTAATAAAGTCCCAAATAAACTTAGATTGAAAACAAAAAATATTAAGTTTCCATACTAACACGTCTCGTCCAACTTTCAAACTAGTATGGTATATTCTAAGGAAATGTTGATTTTCAATTTTTGTTTTTTTTTTAGGAAAAATGTTCAGTTTCACTGATAGAACCCTCTATAAAAGGGTGTTAATAATTTTGATTTCAATCAATTGTTACATAACTTCATAAATACATCCCCATATCCTAAACATCAGGTTACTCGTGTTATACAATGTACACCAGGAACGACGATACCACATCATTCACATCTATGAAAAAAGAACCAAAAAATATACAATTGTAGTAATTGTACTACAATTGGATATTTTTCAGTTACTCGGTACAGTAGTATGTCCTGAGAAACAGAATCGAAAGTCAAGTGGATATTTAACATTTGTAACAGTAAAATATATGCTCAATATTATAGTTTATAGGTAAAGAATAAGTATAAAATAATGTTTTTCATTAAGGTAAATTATAATAATACTCTAATAATAATTCTAAATAAATTTCGGATTTTTGTCTGTGATTTATAAGAGACGAAACGCGGGGAGCCATGATTGAAGCATCGTGTGACGTCATGTTTCTAAACTTTTCTTATAAAGACCTAGATACAACCATCGTAGTTGATTTTCACATTTGTATTGAATAAGACGTCACAATTTAGCGTGAAATATACTTTTATACATTTGTCTTTCTTTTTAACTTTTTAGAAAAAAGGCAATTGTGAGAGGTATAAAATAAACATTTGAAAATTTTGAATTAGTTTTCACAAACCAATTAACAGGTACGTAAAATGTATGTAATGTATGTATGTAACTACGATATAAGAATCTTTCTAAATATGCAGTCATTGACATCTTTAACTTCATGTCTAATCCCGTAAAATGTCTTAAGAGAACACTAAGCTACATTATTATCAAAAATGAGGTTGGAATTATTTGGGCACCGCCAGACGAGGTATTGATTCAATGGTAAACATTATACAGATGAGATATGAAAAAATAGGCGTAGACGTAAGTGCGGAAACGCGACGCGAAACGCGTGTCGTTGTAACGATTTAATTCCCACCAACAAAGACGATAAACGCTTCCCATCTGCGTAAATTGTCTAGTGTATTAGTAGTAGGAAGTTTCAAAATCATCTCACCTTTGTCTCGACGAAGAAGACGCCCGCCTCTTACGACGTGCCGTATGGGATCGCGAACTCCGCGAACTGGAATTTGAAGAGCTGGGGGGTCAAAGGAGCGCCAAGGGACAGAGGACACTCACACGCCCACACACATGCAAACACAACAGTGTTCGCACGTTCCATCATCATGCACACACACACGCACACGACAGAATGATCAGTATCAGTAGCGAATCCCAGATGATACGCATGCAGTGTTAAATGAAGTTTAGAGAAATGAAATCCGTCAGATTGAAAACCGAAACACCACGACGTTATTGTTATGAAAGCAAAACCCATTAGCAGGGGGAAAAGGATGAAGCGAGGAGCAAAGTTTCAAATTAATATCTTAGAAAAAATTTAAGACATTATGACTTAAAAAACAAAACCTATCTTCCGCCTTGTCTGAAATGTTATGGAAAAAGATAGAAAATATACTTATTTGGTTATTAACATAATCAGTGATGCCAATTTTATATAGAAAAATAAATAAATAAACATCAATTAAATATTATAAATATGTGCGGAAATTAATTTCTCTTTGACCACTTTGATCTTTTAAATCAATAGCATCGTTAGGACGCCAGTAAGTAATTATTGCCATCATTAATGACAAAATATATAAATTTCGACTGTTTATAATTCTATGACTTGAATTAATCAAACACAAAAATATGGTAACCCAAACTACCAATCCTAGTAATGCCAATGATTTTCTTAATATTTTTGATACAATGTTTCAAAATGTCAATATACTTGAGAATAGAGCAAGAAATTATAAAGTTTAAATTGTCAATTTTCATTTAAAGTATTTATAGGTCTTTACCTATGAAATTGAAATTCTGTATATAATAAATATTGTCTGAAAAAACATAGTTTTATTATTTTTCGCAAACAATACTGTTCTAAATAATAATCAATATATCATTGGTCAATAAACTTTATAATAAATTTTATATGTAATGTTAATGAATTAATTAGAAAATTAATACAGACTACTTAGAAGTTCCCATATTTTACTTTTTTAACTTCGAATATAGAATTAAAATCAGTCATCTTTAAAATTCATGTTTGTTTGTTTATCCATCATAACATAATGTGAAAAATACAGCTACACTCCTATATTGTGTGAAATCGCATAAAACGTGTTTGCCCAATTAAATAATCATATTAATGTTCACAAAGAATCTTACGCAGATGATGCCGCCAGTACAGTACAAAAAAGCAAATACAGTACAATAATTGATCAAATGTTTATTATTTTTACACAAAAACAACTATTTTCTAATTTAGATTAAATTGCTTATGAGAATTATAATTATTATTTACAATTTATTTAAAAAAAGTCCTTCCAATAAAAAATTAAAGCAAATGACTCATTGAAATAGAACTAATTAGCCAATTTCACCAGTCATTAATTGTATGACAATACATAAACACCTTTTTCCTATATCTCTTTTTACATATGCAAAAAGCGAGGAAACCAGGCCTAAATCACACATGCATTGCAGTAGCTGCATGAAACATGTTAGTTACTATTATTCAGTGTAATCCATTGAATTATTCGTAAAAAAAAAAATGATATTAAGCCCGCGTGTAAAAAACACAAAATTTTTTATCTAAATGAGAGCGAAACGAATTTATTTGTAGATACATTTACGCTAGTACGTACGAGTATATGAAAGAACAAGATGCCATTCAGTTCATATGTACGATAGCATTAATCTCTGAGGGGTCAAGTTGCACTCTACTATTTCATAGGTAAAGACGCTTTTTTTTAATGTGTATAAAAATACAAACCTAGAAGAGGAGTACGAGTCATCGGAGGAGGGCGGGCGACGCCTGCGGGCGGCGGGCTCGGCACGCATCCAAGGGTCGGCCCACTCGTCGCCGCGGGCCCCGCGCCCCTCGCGGCCCTCGCGGCCCTCCCTGCCCTCGCGCACCTCGCGGCCCTCGCGGCCCTCGCGCGGCGACCGGCGCTCTACTTCTGCGCGCTGCACTATCACCTCCCGCGACGATCGGACGCGTCTCTGCTTAATATACACCAAATAGGGAGACTTTGTACAAAAGTCGATTGCTTGGGTACCTCTGTCCCATTCGTGTTTCAACCGTGAAGCAGTTGTGTTTGCATGGCTGTGTTTCGGTTTGAAGGGTGGGATATGGCGTGAATTTACAGGGTACAGAGGAATAACACCTGAATCCTCAGGAATGGCAACGCATGGGAGGTATCATAGGCGAAACAGTATACTCTGTTATGTCCATGGTACTGCTCATGTCTATAGGCGACGGTTACCACTTTCCACCAGGTGGGCCGTCAGCTTGTTTGCCATTATAAGTTGTATATAAAAAAAAAAAAAAGTGTAACTGATGTGTTCGTGCTTGTGATGGTTGATAGTTACTTAATTAAATTTGATCATAAATGAGGTCACACTTATTCTTCTATATTTTGTTTTTTTTTTTTAATCACATATAAGGATGCCAATTGTAGTTAGATGGCTCGTAACATAACATGAATACGTTGTGGAGATAAAAAAATATTTACCCACTTATATAAAAAAAACAACGAAGTTATAATAACAAACACATCAATTTCTATACAAAAGGTAAAATGGGAACAAAAAAAAATTTCAATTAATAACAAAATCTAAATTTGTTTTGCAAAAGATCGGATAACAAATACAAAAAAAAAAAAAAAACAAATTAAATACCCTCGAGCGTTTATGCATCATAAGCTGTACCGAACAAAAATGTGGTACCGCGCTCTAATGCAACAGCGTCTGTTACATAACTCGAATTTACAGCGGCGTTTTCATTAAATTTATGTAGGTTATTAATTTATGCAGATAATAAACTCATTTAACCATAACCTCTAATCGAAATTTGGTAATTTCAAAAATCGGTGATGCAGTGGGGTGTAGCGAGCTAGCCTAGAGCCAATCGCTCCATCGGGTTAAAGTGAGAAAACAACAAGCTATACATAATACTGATGGAAGAGTCATCGAACTGATCAGACAGTTACCTACCTTATGATAAGCGACGTCGTCCGGCATCGGGACCCGATCGTCATAATGTGGAGGGCGGTCGTAGCCGACGCGCTCGCGAACGTAACCTCGCTCGCGCTCGTAGTACCGCTCCCGTTCGTCCATCGCACCACGCGGGAACCGACCGTGGTACATGCTGCCGTACGGCCTGATCAAAATAATTTATTATTTTTATAAAAAAAAGTAGCAGCTTTTTACAGCTGTCTACCATTAGTTATTGGAGCAAAATCAAGAGCCGTCACCCCATTCTACACTTGTCAATACAAAGTCTGCATTGATGAATCTTTTTCCGTTTTATAAATATGTTAAAAGATTAGAATTAACAATTGTTAGTAATTAAAAGTAACAACTGCTAGCAATATACTTTATTAGGTAAATTTGAAACGATGAACCAACTGGCTTGATTTCATCCTCATCTGATATTACTCACTAGTGCCCAGTCAGCATATACCAATAGTGCAAGAAGGGTTAGCATTCTAACATCACCTATTAAAAAAGAAAAACACAAATGGGACACAAGTAGTCACATAGACAACTTTTGTAGTCTCCCTCTGGTAAACGTAAGGCGTGAAACTGACCGAAAGAGGTCTTGGTCGCGGTGCATCGCGGGTGGCAGGTCATGGTGCGGCGGCGGCGGCGAAGCACCGACGGCCGCAGCCGCGTACGCTAGCTCCGCATCCGGGTCGTGCACTACACCACCCACCGACAGATGCAGCTTCTTCTCTTCGAAGTCCATGTCCTGTTCTTTACGTTTGTTCGCTATCCGCAACATCTAAACATTTATTTTTATTTTAGAAAGGCAACCAAGCAGACAGTTCACCTGATGACAAGTTGTAACTGTCCTATAGAGATGAATAACACCACGGGCATTACAGAAAAACTCATAAATAACATAATAAATCTTTGAAGCTCATGAGCACATTTGCAATCTAGAACTTGGCCACCTAGATTGTGTTTTGTATAATATCAACCAAGTCCTACAGTTATTAGTTGGCAGGGAAAAATATTAGATGAGCCATGGTTTGTGTTTAAAAATGATAACACATTAAACTCCTACGTGAAAAAATATACTAGCAGAACTACCAAATTGTGTTTTGCTCTCAACTGCCTACTGGCTACCAGATCCATTTTGTCTATACCGTGTGGTACCAGAATAGAATGGGCCACCCCTTTCTCGTGGTATCATAAGCAACTAAGAAAACTCAATAGTCGAGGAATGGACAGCAGTGTCTCTCTTTAAACATCACCAAAACCTAACTGCGGTTGCCAACCCGCCTGTCAAGCATGGCAACTATTGTCAAAACCTCCCAATAGGGGGAGGTCTATGTTCAGTAGTGAACAGTTAACAGCTGATATGGTGATGACGATGAATACACATTTTCAAAACATTAAAACTCGTCGAGTAGTTTCCGAAATTTATGCTATGGGCAACCTAATTTCAAAGCGAATTAACTATTTATATAGTATAATATTGTATAAAAATTTGTATATCTACAAGTCTACTGTAAATATCTTACTGTAAACTTTTGGAGGAAACAATAAAGAGTATCTATTTACCTCTTTGGCGGTCCGCAACCCGCGCTCCCAAGCAGACTCGGGCGGCGCCACGTCTCGTGGGGGCGCGGCATAAGGCGCGCCGGCAGGCACACCCCGTACAACGTCAAACATGTTGTAGTTACCCTTATCAGTCACGCCTGGATGGAGAAATCTAAAACCAAGTTATAACAGTAGTAGCTACTGAGGCTTCTGGTAAAAGCTAAAAACAGTGTAAGGATTGTGATTACTAATGATTGGTATTAAATTTGAAAGTAGTCAATCCTACTTATGTTTTATTTGTTTAATAGTTTTACACCAAATATGTTGTGCAAAAAATCATTCTAATACATATGTCATTTATTTTAAAAATGTGACCTAAATAAACACAGAATGTGTGGTACCTGCAATTAACGCCCCACATACAGGCGCCGCGAGAGAAGAATCTGCATACGGGACGGGGCTCGGTCTCCTCGGGGCGTCGTTCAGCCTCGTCAGACACCTCGCCCTCCTCGAGCGAAGAACCGCGCGACCGCCGACCAGCTTTCACTTCTTCTGTTAAATAATACGCAATATATACTATTACAATACCTGCAACTGACGCCCCAGGTGCAAACGCCGCGAGAGAAGAACCTGCACACCGGGCGAGGCTCGCTCTCCTCGGGGCGGCGCTCGGCCTCGTCTGACACCTCGCCCTCCTCGAGTGAGGAGCCTCGGGACCGGCGGTTCGGTTTTACCTCTGCTAATTTAAATATTATCCTATTACTCTTGACAAATAAAATTTATATTAATTTAATCAACAAACCGATCCAATAATCCAGTCTCATCTTGAAGACAGGAGAAACAATTTACCTGCTTTTAATAATTCCTATTATAAATTGATTAGATCAAAAACTGGAGCAACGAAACCATCCTCGGCTTCTATGTGGCTATTGCAATTATATAAAGCTCTTCTGCAGCATACCGTCTTTCTAATTTACAAACTACACTGTACAAGTTTAAAAGCCCTTACCAGAATCCATAATAGTGCAGAACTGTAGATTCACTATGCAATATTTTTCGAATATATCAACTATTCTGCACAGCAACAGTTCATATTTTGCAGTTTAAAATATTATCCTATATACCTAACTGCAGTTCAGGTAATAATTATCTATACAAAAATGTTTTGTTTGTTTGTAATGGGTGCACTTAAAAACTTATCAACCTGTTTTAAATTTTCTTTTACCTATAAAATGCTACGTGATCAGCGAATAACATAGGCTATATATATATATATATATATATATATATATATATATATATATATATATATATATATATATATATATAAACTTATTACGTTACAATCAAGTAGGCAAATGTTTATAAGAGTACATATAATATATGTTTTAAATACCGACTTTTTCAAATCTGGCTTTATTTCATAACTTTTTCGTGCTAAATATTTTTCATAACGATGAAAGGAAAGTAGCAATCATATGGAAGAACGATAGATACTAAAAATACACAGTTATTATTTATCAATGTGCTGATTTTAATTATTGACGTAACTCTTTCGATTTAAGTTTTCATTCTTCTGCTCAAAACTAACTTTTTTATTATTTACATACCTTGTTAACCTAATAGTTTATAAGCATAGTTTGGTAGTTTGTATTTGATCCTTATTTTGTATGTAGTTTTTATCATTCATTCTTTTTTGTATTAAAAATCAACCTATTCTGTTTCATCTCTGTGAATGTTGAGTGCAACTATAATTGGATTGCAAACTTATAATGCTATTGTTGTATTCTATTTTTTAAAGTTTTGTATGTAATCTGTTGTTGTACCACAAAAATAAATAAAATGAAATAAAAATAAAAATTACTAAGCCAAACTCGTATACATGATATAATATAAAAACACTGAAGATAAAAAAGGTCTAATGATAGGGCTCATCTATAATCGCCTTTTGTAATATTTTTTTAGATACAGTATATCATCTGCAACATGAATTTATAAATATAACATATATATAAATTTCAGGTTGTAAATACTATCCTAAACCAATGTTATGTAAATAAAAACATATTCAACATTTTGAATGCATCACATCTACTTTTTTTTTTTTTAATACTCACCAGATCGACTCCTAATTTAAATTTATTAGTATTTAAGAAATATGTATAGTTTTTTTTATACTACAAAGGTGGCAAACAAGGATACAGCCTGTGTGATGGTAAACAATCACTGGAGTCTATGGACAACTGTGACACTAGGGATGTCATATGCGTGTTGCCTGAAGAAACCTTAATAAACCCTTTTTGAAGAACCACATATGTAGTCTCTAAAGAAAACCTAACAAATATTACTTTTTTCCCCAACTATATATATAACAAATCTGACAATTAATAATTATTAAATCATATTTATTTATATATATAATATATACCTGTAAAATTTTATTTTGAATTTAATTCTTAAACAAACAACATCTACTTGTGCTTACTATAAATATAAAAAAATACCAAAACCCAGATTTAAACAATTAAACTGTAATATAAAATGGTTAACATACTAAATATTTTGAATTCTTAAATAATATATTGAATTTTATCTCAAACCTTTTTCAACTCCTTTTGTATCCAAATCACCATTCTGTTGTTCCACAGACTTAGGCTCTATGCATTCTCCTTCTTCAGCCTCAAAATCTAATTGCTCTTCCCCATCTTCAGTATTACTAGTTTTTTCTTGTGGCACCTAAAAATATTATTAAATATATATTAGATCCTCAATTCTAATATTATAAATTTAAATTAAAATTTACTTAAACAAATATGTTAATGGAATTTTCAGACAGAATCCTTTAACAATTATTGTTGGAAAGGACAAAACACAGCGAGTTCATTAATTTCCAGTTATATATGTATAGAGACATTGGATGAAAAATTGACATACATTTTAAAAATAATAAATTGCTACATACTGAATATATAATGATATTATATAATAGTATATTTTTAAATCCCATATCACTTAAGTGATAAATATTTTTAAGTAGATAAATTAAGCAGAAGCAGAATATCACTCACACATGGATAGTATTGAGATTAGGACTAATTCTGAAATGTTATTTACTAAGGCTATTTAAAAAATAAAAGTAAATGAAGAAAAATAAATTGGTAATTCTATGAATTATAGAGGTACAATCTCCAAAATAATGTACCATGTCCTTAGAGAAGTGGCAATTTAAACTTAATAGATACCTACTTACTAATTTTATGAAACATATAAAAAACAGTTGTCTTGTCCTCACACATGCAGTAACAAAAAAATATTCATTAATAAATAATGATTTGTTTAAAACTTATCTAGCCCTACCTACAAACATCCTATTAGATTTAATTACAATAAACTTAATTTTATCTCATCATAAAAGAAGTTTAGATATAAATTTACAGAACTAAACTTTTCAAAACTGGCCTCATTCTAAGAGCTGCTAAAATATATATATATAAAACACAAATGTGGAACACATACTTTTTCTAATTTCGGTGTATCTATTTTTCCATGGTCAGATTTTGGAGATGAATGTGAACTTTCATTATTGTTGCCATTAACACTGACTTGTGGTTTATTTTCTGGAGAAGCAGGTGGTGATTTGGGCTAAATAAAAAAGGAATTTACACATATTAGGCATAAAACTTAATGTGTTATAAAATTATATATATAGTAGAAAAACAAGCTGTTTACTTTTGTTTCCTTATCTGTTTCTTCTGGTCCCATGGAATCTAAATCAGATACATCAGATAAATCTTCATGACTTATGTTGAGATCCTTTCCATGTTGTTTATCACTAGTAGTGGATTTACTTCTTGACTTTCTGTCATCTTGATCAGATTCCATTTCACCTAAAAAACAAAGTAAGCACACTTTTGTAATCTACTTTTGATTTTTTTTTATCATTATGATAATTTACTGCAATGCTCAAAGATGAAGAATTAAATTAATCATGTTACCATCAGAAATTTCTTCAGTAGCTGGATCCTTAACACTGGTCCTTTTATTATATGTTGAACTCCTGCTTGACTGACTTGAATCTGATCTACTACGATTTCTTGTGAGTGGAACCATTTTTTGTTCAGCTTTTGTATGTCTCCTCCATTTTCCTTTTGGACTCCCATCATCCCAAACATTTTGTTTTATAGGTGACCGTGCTGGTGAAGATTGTAATGACTTACGATCTGGTGATGGACTCGAGGACGGAGACCGTACATCAGGATTCCTTGTCATTGGAGATGCTGGCTGTGATACTGAATCAGGTGAAATTGGACGAGACCTTGGTGAACCACCTGGTGATCTAGCAGAACTACTTGGACTTTGAGGAGTTTTAGGACCTTCACCAGCTGAAGGTGCTGAAGAATACTGTTCAGGTCTTTCAGGAGAACCTATATTTGAACCAACATCACTTGGTGATTTAGGTGGATCAGGGGATTTTGGTCCTGCAGGTGATGGAGGCATTGAATTTTCAGGGGAATTTATATCTGAATGAGCACCACTTAAATTATCTGGTGACCGAGGGCCTTTACCAGATGACGGTGACCGTACAGGTGGAGATTGGGAGCGACTTTCAAGGGAGGGTGATCTTGGGCCAGACCTAGGAGATGGGGGAGATCTTGGAGGTGACTTTGCATTTTTTTTAGAACCTTCGCTCCTATCTGATGATGAACTTCTATGGCTTCTGGAACTGGAACTGCTACTACTTGATGATGAATGGGCATCACCATTACCATCACGAGAGTCTTCAGAATCCATCCCTGAAAACAGATGGCAGCATTTCTTGAAGGTGATATGTCAAAATAACAATTCCATCCCAAAAAGCATTAAATTAATAATTGATTAATACCATTAAGTATGTATTATTTCAGGAAGCTTCATTTAATACCAATTACACACCACATATTTAAAGTTAGTACACCACACATTATCAATCAATAATAATGAATTACAAGCACATAAATATAAAAATAGAACTATCAATGAATCTGATAATGCTGAAAGATATTCTTTAAGACTCATACCATGATCTCAGGTTTTTTATTAGTTAAAAAGGTAAAAATAATTTAATAAAGTACCAAAATATGTTGCCACTTTACTTTATTGTAATAAAATAATTATATAAACAACACATCAATCGAAAGCGTGGCGTAGAATTCGTGTATCAATGTCAACATAAAGAGGAATGTCAATATACAGGGCAAAGCTAAGTACTGTTTCTTTTGATACTTTAAGTTTAGACTTCTGTTTAAGACGAAGTCACTCATTCCAAATTTATAAATACTACGTTCTGAATTCTGATGTATATTGAAGACACATCCAGCCTTACCTTAAAGATGACGCCTCGGCGCAAGAATCGTTGGCACTTTATAACACTTTTCATATTGTAAAGACTTTCAACTTTTTTAATCACAACACAAACTAAACTTGGGTCTGTCACATATATTTGTGAACAACTTTTAACTTTCTTACAACGTTATACTGAAGAAAACTTAGAAATTCAACACTACTTCAACATGGCTGTGATATAGAAGGAAATATGAACATAATAAATAATCACTTTCCAGTATTTCCGTAGGGTTAACTTAAGCCCTTACCTTAACTGAGATGTATTTGACGAAAAAGTTCTTGATGCAATTCTATTATCTAAATAAAATCCAGTTTTTGCGCCGCAAAAGAACTTCTCAGATCGAAGCGTAGACATAAAAACCATAAACTAAGGCTTACGTTTTTTAAACAAAGTAAACTACCACAGACAATGTAGAGTTTATAAGAGTTATCTATCATACTATCAAAAGCAATGACGAATCACTAGCGTACTCATCAACACAATATCTATAATTTTAGTATGTCTAAATTACTATGAAGAAGCAACATTGACAATTACAATAATTGCATTTATGTAAAACAAAATATGTCAAAAATTAAAATTGACTATTCTGTATCTATGAGTCTAACGCTTCTTATTAGGTAGATATATTGCAATCAAGTTGCGATAGCAAGTAATTGTGCGATAATTGCTAAGAATCAAAATTTTGTAGTGTTTTATATTATCTCTAAAAATAATTATTGAGCGGACATTAATATAATACATTAGTGCTGCCTCGGCGCGCAAGTCAGAGAGATAAGCCTCAGAACCAGTGATGTCATTTGTCGTTTTTGTTTGACTGACTGACTGATCTCTGGATATGTCCTATTTTCCAAACAGGTAACGCGAGCGCCCATCGATTCCATCGCGATTATCAAATTATACCTTTAGTGTGTAACATTAAATAAAAACAATAAATAATAATAATAATACTAAAGTATCTATAAAATACTTGTGTTTAGGTCTAGTATATTAAATGTCCATATATGTGTTAGTGGCGCCCTCATTTTTTCAAGCTGTTTTATACCAAAGTATACATAGAAAAAAAAGAAGGAATCATTAATTACTACGTAAATAGTTAGTTCTATTTTTTATTATTTGATTGCTTGTGGAGCTATTTGGCAAAGTGCAATTTACAGAATATAGCTAATCTAATGATTAAAAAACAATCATTATTATTGTATTAGCAATTCATCACGATATGATTGCACAATATTTGTTAATTGCAAATAATTTTTCTCTATGGATGTACTATTTTTAATCTATGATATTTTGCGGAACATAGATAATTATTAATCTATGACTCTATAAAAAAAAGACTATTCGCGGTAAAATTAAAAATATTATAGAATAACTGTAGGTACCGAATTCTTTACCCAAAAATTCTAAATTATTACCTAAATACCTAACCTTATAATTTCCTATGGTCTTTATATCAATACGTGTAAAATGGATCACGTCATAGAAGATAATATTTCTGAAAATGATGAGGAGGATACTTTTTTTCAAAATGTTGATATTTTACAAAACCACGGCATAAATGTAGCAGATATTAAGAAATTAAAAGCGGCAGGTATTTGTACTATTAAAGGAATTCAAATGACAACAAAGAAAAAATTAAACAATATAAAAGGCTTTTCTGAAGCAAAGGTAGATAAAATTAAAGAAGCTTGTCAAAAAGTAGCATCTCTTGGATTTATGACTGGTCTAGAAGTTAGCGATCGTCGAAAACAAATATTTAAGATTAGTACCGGAAGTAATGAACTTGAGTAAGTATACTAAAAAGGGAAATCCTGTGCAAATGTTTCTAAACCGGTTAGCTTCGGCTATTTTAGTTTTTGTTTATCTTTACTAACATAAATATGAATAGTTAGCTATTAGGCGGCTTAACTGTTAAACCAATCGTTATTTAATTTAGTATAACGTAGTACTTAGCATGAAGAGTCTTAGTTTTTATGTATTTTTCTCAACATATTGCGGTCATGCGGATAAAGCGTCGCTTATAAAAACTAGTCTTGGAATAATTTAAAATATTTTTATTACTCGTAAACCAACTAAAACAATTTTCGAAAAAATATTCCACGTACTAATTGTCTCGTTACTTTTTAGTATTATTATGCAATAAATGATAAACAAAAGCCAAATTAAATCACGTTTCAGTAAACTCCTTGCAGGCGGTATAGAATCAATGGCAATTACAGAAGTATTTGGAGAATTCCGTACTGGAAAGACACAGCTGTCGCACACATTGTGCGTTACCACGCAAATTCCAAATTCGACAGGATACCATGGTGGAAAGGTCATGTTCCTCGATACGGAACACACTTTGTATCCTTTTATTGCATGGACACTTAAATCCCAATACCTCTCGTTAGGTTTAGGTTTATAGGTTTTTCCCCTAGAACTCATTATTCTTTTGCTATTGCTACATAATATGTAATAATACTAATATTAATTAAAAAAAAACTTACTTTATGACAACCTAAAGGTCTGAAGAGAAAGGGACTACAAGTCTCATTGCTAGCAATGCACTCTATCAAGTCGACCTCCCCGTGGTCCCTCTTGGAAACTATCGTGCTGAATTTCAGTTGAAATCATATATGATACCAATATATACTATTAGTACTACTACTATACCAATAGCGCAGGCGCGGTTACCATTCCATTATCATCATAAAAAAACCTAAAGTTCTAAACTGACCATGTTAATGATTCATAATATTAATTATGTAACATTGAAGTAAACTACAATTTTCAAATGTTTTATTCAAATGTATTAAAGTTACCCACATGAACATCATAGTCACATAAAAATATTCAAATATTTTTATTGACAAGATTGATAAAAAAAATTGTGGAGATGCAATTTTATCATTTGTAACTTGTATTGCATTTACAGCTATTGAATGCATGAATAGTTCATAAAGTATATTGTATCTTATTTGTCACTTTCCCTGACTCGAATACCAGCCGCCCAGATAGATTACGACCGATCGCAGATCGATTTAATTTGGATCAAAATGCTGTATTGGATAACGTATTATATGCTAGAGCTTATACTTCTGAACACCAGGTGAACAATTTCTATATATTTTTTATACTTACTGTGATAATGATAGCAAATATATATGGTAAAAGTATATGGCCCGTCAGAGGTAGGCATGGATAATATGGGTGCAGCTCTAATTACTGTATATTGGGTTCCTGGGACATTGATGGTTTCGTTATCGCCTATATCTGTCGGATACTTATATATTTATTTATTATTATAATGCATTCATGTACATAATATAAAGTTGCATACAGTGTAAAGTCCAAACAAGCTGCATGTACTTATAAAGAATAACTACATGCACCCTGTTTGGGTATAGCAAAATGTTATTGATAAATAGTTAATATACATACATAAATAATCATATGCATCGAGTACTAATAATTATTATATCCGTTATTTTGCAAATATATTGTTATATATTACCTACCCATAGATGATAAACGGTTATAATCATATACTCAGTATATCATATTACGTGTTATACCCATAAGCATATTTAGAGGTGGGCCATGGCGACCTCAGAATCATCTGGTGTCCACTCCAGGACGTGAGCAAAGCTTCACAAAGACACGTCTGAGAGTACATACGTGACTTTTTCAAGGGCAATGCCCCTTCCCCCTCTGTAAAATGATCTTAAATGCGCCAATGTTTTTTTTTCCACGCGGTTCCCCTTGGAAACTATCATGATTAATTCCTAATGAATTCATCATGATAGGCTAACTGACCTGTTTTCATTCTCATCGATCACCCTTCACTGGTGCTCCGCCAGCGTATCCCGTTGGCTCAGGCTGAGTTACCAATCCATTATCATCCAACAAAAAAAAGTATTTCTATTGTAACGACTTTTTTTATTAACACATATGTATTGATTTATGTACGGGCCAAAGGTTGTTCCCAATTCCCAATTACTTTTTTGATGATGGTTAAGGGACTTAAAATAAAGCGAATTGAGTCCTGTTAGTCATACGCACCTCTTGCACTTCCTTCCGGAATGTGACGTGACTAACAACATAGATAATTTTTTTATAGCCAATCCAAAAACCTATGGCTAAATAATGATCGACCAACAATCGAGATACGCGGAAATTGATTTTATGTTCGTGAGAATCTTTACATTTATGATGCATGGTCACGACTAGGCATGACTGTTTCACGAACTATGTGAAGGATATTCATCCATCATACAAATTTAATAAACGCACCAATTGGTATTTATGTACGCTATTTATCTTGACATTGATGACTTGTTCACATTGCAATAAATATATCTTATGATAATTTTTAGGAAAAATAATTATAATAATTATTATTAGGGAAGAGAGGATAATTAATAATGGGGTTCTAGTGGGTACCATTCCTAACATTTTTTTTTGTCCAGTAAAAATGGGTAATATCCGACATCTATACTATATTTACTTCTTTTGAACATTAATGACTACCCATTGCGATATCGCCCTTACCATTTTACGATCGGGTTGTTTTTTCGATATTATATATTGGATAACTGATATGTATTTGTTATTGGGATAATATATATGTATAGATATTGTAACTGCAATATATAAATATTACTAAATTTTACCCACATTTACTGTCAAGTCGATCTTTACGCGGCTCTTACTGGAAATCACCACGTTAAATTCCTGGTGAATTCATCACAACAGATCTACTAACCTGACTTCATCCTCACTCAATCATCCCTTATTATTACTCCGCCAGTATATACCGATAGCGCAAACCGGGTTACCATACCATCTTCCTCTACTAAGAATGTCCGTTATTTGTTTGAATCATTGACATCAGGTACTGACCTAATTACCTACTTAGTATTATTACAGTGTAACTTAAAATTTTTATGAATAAAAAGATTACCTAGTATTATTATCTTTTAGATAAATATATCTAATAATTTTCACTTTACAACGAATCATGTGTAGATAGATAGATATGTACTTTGTACAAACCTATTGTTATTAAACAACTTGTCAAGATTACAAAAGATTCTTTTATGATTTGATTAAAACAAAATGATAGATCATTGATTTTTTTATTTCATATCTACATAATTGTAAGTAGATACAAGGAACTAAATAAATAAAACTTATTATTGTACAAACTGTACTCAATTTGGGACTAGATGGCGCTGTGCATGTATATCCAGTGATATTTACTTACAATAATATTTGTCATTATGATTTGTACAAACCATCTTTAGTAAAAAAATACTAATTTACATAGAGTGTAGATAATTACATAAATATCTCTTTACATCTACCTACAATTAGCAAAATCTTATTTACCGCTTGGATGCCTACTTTTTTATGGATGATAATGGAATAGTAACTCCGCCTGCGCTATCGGTTTACACTAGCTCCCGTCAGTTTAAACCGATGTCGATAAAACCGATAAAACCAGTGAGGGATGTAGTGAGGATAAAAAGGCACGTCTGTTATCCCATCGTGATGAATTCAACGACAAATTAGTCATGATGGTTTCCAGGGGAAATCGCATGAAAGTCGACCTGATAGGGTATATTGATAGCAGTGGAGACTAGCCTCCCCATTACTAACAATACATTTCCCACATTAGATACTTACTGTACTGTTCGCACCGTGTCACACCTAATCGGAATTATAATTATAATTATAAATTACCTGGTAAAAAAAATTGGGAGTTTAAAACACACACACACACACATACACACACACACACACACACACAGAGAGAGAGAGAGAGAGAGAGAGAGAGAGAGAGAGAGTAATTATCTTAATATATAAAAATCCCATGTCCGTTCACATTATTCTCCAAAACCACCCAACAGAGTTTAATGAAATTTTGTTAATATGTATTTTTGGCTTAAACTTGAGGGATAGGATAGTATTTATCCCCATAAGACAAAATTAACCCCATAGATGAATCAGCTAATTATTTTATAAAATATATATTATGAATTATATTATAAACCTAGGCTGAACTCTTGGACTACGTAGCGGCGAAGTTCCATGAAGAGGCGGGAGTATTCAAGCTTCTGATTATTGACTCCATCATGGCGCTCTTCCGCGTTGACTTCTCAGGACGAGGCGAGCTAGCCGACAGACAACAGAAACTGGCTCAGGTTTTATCACGGTTACAAAAGGTACGACGTAAAAATTATACATTTTAATTTTAAGTTCAAATCATTTTTATTCAAATATACTTGTTTACGTACATTTTATTTATTTCATCCGAAGGGAGATTTTGTACAATTCATTGTACAAGTTGATGCAGTTTTTTTTTATGGGTGAAAATGGTATGGTAACCCCGCCTGCGCTAACAGGATACGCTGGCGGAGCACCAGTGAAGGATGATAGATGAGAATGAAAACAGTTCAGTTAGCCCATCATGATGAATTCATCAGGAATTAACCATGATAGTTTCCAGGGAAAACCGCGAAGAGATCGACCTGGTTGGGTATATTGCTAGCAATAGGATTCTCAGTCTCCATTACTGACAATCCCTTTTCCCCCTACCTTGATGCAGTTGTGTTTGCATGGCTGTGTTTCGGTTTGAAGGGTGGCAAAAGACAGTGAATTTACAGGATACAGAGGAATAATACATGAGTTCTCAGGTATGGTAACGCATAGGATATATCATGGGTGAAACAGTATACTCTGTTATGTCCATGGTACTGCTCATGTCTTTAGGCAACAGTTACCACTTTTCGTCGGGTGGGCTGTCAGCCTGTTTGCCATTCTAAGTTGCATAAAAAAAAAACACTTTAAAATCGTAATTTTATCGTCAAACCCGCAAGAAATTTACTTTGATAACTTATCAACTTTTGCTCTCAAAATTGACTGGAAGGAATCTCTTTAAGGAATAAGTCGCTTGTGTTTCTGTTCCTTTTCTTTATAAACTGATATCTATATTAAATGTGAATATACAATTATTAAAGTTTTTATCTCACAAAAAATACTGACTTCGATTGTGACATAACCAGTTATTTTGATCTAAAAACTAAACTACTAAACAGATTTTGATAAAATCTCTATGGTACAAATCTGTAAGCATATCTTTTCAGATAAAAAATAATTTGTCATCCATCGATTTAGAACTGACGAAGTTATGAGGTAATAAACATAAAAAATATAACCGAATCGAGAGTCTCTTTATTTTTGAAAACGGTTGATAAAACTTTTACAAACAAATAAACAAACACGTTTATCTACTGCTTTAAGTACTCGACAAGTCAATGCCAAAAAAGCTAAAATCAATGCATAATATATAATTTAAGACTTTAATTAATACATAGGTTCAAGATCAATGGGTAGGGCGATAATAGACATCCGGCTACATCATACCACTACACGGGGCGATTGACCCAGACGTTACTTCGGTTTCGATAAGAAAATTGGTTGTGATTGCTTATGACCTCTCTGTTATATAGTACCTATTAGATTGACGTTAGTATTAGATCCTTATGCAGATAGAAAACATAAATTGTATTTATTATATTATTTACTGAGTGTTATAATTTAAAATATAAGTACTTTACGGCGTCTATTAAAGTAGGAAAATACTCCCTCTCGATTCTATTCCTACTGCTAACCCACAAGGAACTTGGCGTGAAGATAGATATAAAGAAAAGTAACAATATAGATAACTTTAAATTAAACTTAAACCGATAAGTTCTATATTAAACGCTGGTTTTGTTTATTTATTTTAAAAAGTAGGTCTTAATATAAAACAATGTCATATTTACATGCAGATGACCTATGCCATGTTTACAATTTCATGCGTAATAATAATTAGGAATTAGGAGTACGCGTAGGCGATTATAATTTTCATATTATGTTTTAGTATTTCTCCGTGTTAGGGTTCCGTACCATAAAAATGCAACGGAACTTTCATGGTAGGACTATGTCCGTCAGTCTGAAAGAGCGCTTTATTGTATATATTATATTATACTAGCTGACCCCGTAAACGTTGTTTTACCACTTATTGCGGAATATAAAAATCGCGCTTAAAAAACAGGGGTTGATCGTAAAAGGGTGAAAATTTGAAGTTGTATATATTTTTCAATGATAAATCACATTTAAATAAAAATAAAAAATTTTGTCAAAAAAATAAAAAAAAAATTTTTAGGGGTGGGTCACCCTTATCATTGAGGGGTATAAAAAATAGATGTTGGCCGATTCTCAGACCTACCGAATATCCACATAAAATTTCATGAAAATCGGTAAAGCCGTTTCAGAGGAGTTTGGTAACAAACACCGTGACACGAGAATTTTATATATAAGATATTTGGAAAATTTTAGATATCTTCGTTTCACACTTATTTCAAAAGAAATAATTGAAAATAAAAATTAGTTTCTTTGCTCGAGGTTTCAAAAGAGGTAGTATTTAATATTTCAAAATTATTTTAATAGTGAGACTATTAAAATAATTAAGTTAGATTTATTATAAAAGGACTTCCTTTGTACATACTAAATGATCATAAATGTAAAAAAAGAAATATCATCTGTCCCTTATCTCCGAAGTTTGTGAAGACTGAAACAGTAGTTTATAAAGTTCTATGAAAGTTTTTCTTTTTTTATTTGAGATTTTCCTATTGTAGATGGAACTCTTATTCATGCATTTTCTACCAGCCAGTTCTATTCCATGCCATACCTATGACTCCTCATACGACATAACACATAGTGTTCCTTTATCTGTCACATGTAGTCAATTCTCGGTCTTACCCTTCCCTTTTTGCCCACTATTTTTCCTTCGAGTATGGTCTTTAAAAAATCTTCATGTCAACACATACAAGTTGGCCCAGCATTTTGCTTCTTCTATTCTTTATTGTTTTTATTAATGTTAATGGAAATATTAAGAAAATTGGAGTTACAATAGCAATAATTATTATTATTAGGTGTATATTTCATACTAGTGATCCGACCCGGCTTCGCACGGGTGGATAGAGTTTACGAAAATAATATATAGACAGTCCATGCTACTTACTGACAGTGTAGCTTTCTATAGATGAAAAAATGTTTAAAGTTTGTTGAGCAGTTTTCAGTTTATCCATTACGAAGTAACAAACAAATAATAAAATCTTTCCTCTTTTTTATATTATAATACAGATAAGAAACACAATAAACAGTATATAACGTCATTTTATGTCATTTCTGTTATGTACGAAACCTTTAGCGTGAAGGTTGAGTGTGTGAGAACTCGCACCAAACTGGTATTATTTTTAAATCAACAGATATCAGAAGAATACAACGTTGCAGTATTCATAACAAACCAAATGACAGCAGATCCTGGGGCGACTCTCTCTTTCCAAGCGGACCCGAAGAAGCCTATCGGAGGAAACATTCTCGCCCACGCTTCGACCACTAGAATCTCGTTACGAAAGGGCCGTGGTGAAAATCGAATCGCCAAAATCTATGATTCGCCAGATTTGCCTGAAAGTGAAGCTACCTTTGCCATAACTAATGGTGGAGTAACAGATGCTAAAGATTAAAGTGTATTATTAACTTATTTATTATTGCACTTACCATAATAATTGTGTTTTATTTAAATATGTTATTTAGGTGGGGATTCTTAGGTAATATCGTATTTTTGATGTTTACTTATTAAAGATGAAGTTTTTAAAATTTAAATAAGTAAATTAGGGTAATTGTAGGAAAATGTCTATTATAACTAGTCTATTCATTATTTTTATAATTATTTTTGGTAAGAAAATATCAACGTATTTTACTTACTTTTAATATCATAATAATATCTTCGAAATAAACAAAAAGGTTCACTTCACATTTACCAGTTCTTAATTAATTAGAATTGAGACCACCTCCTTTTTGAAGTTGGTTAAAAATAAATACAAGCTATTTATATAATGCAGTTAGTTTCACTGTATATTAAAATAAATGAGACTAATTGCAACTTCGTAATACATAATAATTGCATCCACAATAACCTTTTAGCCTTTACGCATCTTAATATTAATTTTCTGCAGTTATGCAGATCGTGCCGTTCCGTTCTACTATAGTGTAGAAGTCCAAAAGTCAATGAAATCGTTTAACATCCGACACCAATAGCGCGTGGTGGCGTGATTCGACCGAGCCAATTAAGTTTCTCGCTATGATTAGATAAAAATAATATACTACTCACAAATGCACAATACGTTACGCTATTTTACATTAAAATGTTGGCTTTATTTTTGTGTGCTCTCTGAATTTATGTTGAATCTAGATATACCTAGATTCTACTCAGTGCCTGCTCTAACAATTTTGCGGCTCCGAACGAAAATAATATTTGCCGCTCTTTTATCAGTCATTCCCCGCCTTAGATTTGCCGCTCTATTTAAATACCCGGCTTACTTCTCTTCAATCGAGGTTTTATAATCTAAGTACCTCTATATATAATAAGAATATAAACAAAAAACCCATGTCAACATATATAATAAAGTAACCGTAATCAGCCGTTATAAGATTCATTTCACATTGTCATTCTTAATAAAAAATAAACAATTGTACATCAGACCTGTCTCTTATAAGGACATCTTTATGAGAAAATAGAATAATTTAATTTTGCACAACATAAAATTTTATATGTTTTATAAGAATCGGTCAATCGTACTATAAGAGATTACTTGAGAATAGAGGGGTTGATCATTATCTTACTGCTCCTATCACGGATTGGAGAGAATATGACTAGAAACTCTTTATCCCAATTACTTGTAGTCAGCGGAGAAAACAGAAGATACGTTTACAAAAAATCCCCTAGATTGTGTTAATATGGTATGTAATAATATTATAATCAAAATATTACTCTTTACACAGACAATATAATAGGTACTAGTACTAGTAGTGTCATAGTTATCATCGTCTTGTATCTATCTACATCTACTCTGTGGATACACCGTAAAGATAAGTTTTATTACCGCTTAGACTGCAGTATATAGGAAGGAGTATTATTTAGCCTGTATAATATTATATATAGGAGGGGGAGGGGGATAAAGGGATTATTAGTAATGGACACTGAAAATCCCAATGTTAGCAATATGACCAACCAGGACGACCTCCTCGCGGTTCCCCCTGGAAACTATTTTCATCGATCATCCTTCAGCGTATCCCATTAGCGCAGGCAGAGTTATCATTCCATATATATATATATATATATATATATATATATATATATATATATATATATATATATATATATATATATATATATATATCGACTGTCTTTGATTATCGAACTAATAAAATAGATCAACGGTAAGAAAATATTCTAATAACAATAATAATAGATAGGAAAGAAAGCGCAGAAAAAGTAACTAAATACTAAATAATTTTCATAATTTTTCTACCAATATGAGAGAGATCGATTGGTGTTTGACACCATAAAGATCAGTAACCGATAAAGCAGCCAAACACATCTGCGCGCGATAGGTACTTTAGTACATCCTGTAAATTTTGCTTATAGTATTAAGATTATAAGTAGAATATGAATTTATATATCTACCTATCTAACATAAAGTTGTTATAATAGTTAAGGTTTAGTATAAGTTACAATTAGTAAGACCGTTAGCAAGTTCATTAGGTACTACTACACCTATCCCCCGATTTACACGGTAGATACGTTCCTGAGAAAAACGTGTAAATCGAAAATTAAAAATTTTAAGTCAAAACCGTGTAAATCGAAAAGCTTGCTGAAAATGCATAATTTTATTATTTAACAGTTGTGATTTTTTTCAATATTTTTAGGTGTACACAGAAATAAAAATAAATGCATTGACAGGTTAAAATATGTAATATATTACGGAAACACTGTTTTTTTATTTAATTACAATACATTAAACGATCCAAAGCGATCCAAAATTTCGATTTTAGCATTTAGTAGGGTGCGATAAAAACAAAAAAAAAAACTTATTTGGAAAACCGTGTAAAAGCGACAACGTGTAAAACAAGTACCGTGTAAATCGGGGGATAGGTGTAATAACTATGGCAAGTTGGCTACTGAGTAGAAATCGTTTTTACCGATTGTGAGTCAAATCGTGACGTTTGTAGATGGCATTAGCGTATTGGCAGTTTTTGACATTTGAATGAATGACATTTCTTTCATTAAAAGATCATCAGTCTATTCATGAATTCGTTGTTGAGAGATCTACTATCAAGTGCGGAATAAATAATTACATGTTTTTATTTAATATTATATTGATTATTTAATAAGTGCAGATAAAAAAGGAATATTTTGTTACTCTCATTTAAAATATGAATAATAAAAATGACCAGGAAAAACAAATTCGTGTTTGGTGTGATGGGTGGTGAGTAAAATATTTTTGTAGCTTTTCTTTAATGCTTCCTCTATTTTTAAAAACATGCGTTCCTTGAACACAAACAGTACAGTAAATATGTGTTAGTTATGAGTCAGACGTTTCATTAATTTGAAAACAAACGATACACGTTAGTCATAAATTAAGGGTTTATTGCAAAATATTTAGTACTTATTTAAAATCACAGATCTCATAATAAATCGTCTCAAATTATCCGGTCTCTATTTTCCACGAACTTCACTATATTTCTAAATTATTTTTCAGTTATGATATGGTTCACTTTGGTCATGCAAATTCATTGAGACAGGCGAAAGCACTGGGAGATGTGTTAATAGTAGGAGTACATACTGATGAGGAAATAGCCAAACACAAAGGGCCACCCGTGTTTACTCAAGAAGAAAGGTACAAAATGGTTCGTGCCATTAAATGGGTGGACCATGTTGTGGAGGGAGCCCCATATGTTACTACACTTGAAACATTAGACAAATACCAGTGCGACTTTTGTGTACATGGAGGTACAATATCTTTTATTATTTGCTTATAATATCTGTGGCTAATTTGTATGAGTTATTTACTTATTTCACAATTATAGCATATCTTTTTATAAACAAAAAATTTTTTATTAAAAGTTTTTATTGATGTGTAAATAATATTATAAAATTAATTAATTGGTAATTAAATTATACTTACCTAGTGTAAAAAAAAATATAGCTGTTTGTTTATTTTTTGCATTATTATATTGATTAAAAGACATACCAAAATTGTTTATAAGTTACAACAAGTATAAAGAGAAAAATTATGTGTATATATATTTATTTAAGACAAATTGTGAAAATATTACAGATCAATTACCTTAAATGGAAATCATATTTGTTAGATTAGTATGTAATTAATGACATATATATAAACTGTGCTTTCATAATAGAAAAACAAATAATTAGTTGAAATATAAAATAAAAAGAAGTTATTTAGATTATTTGCAGTTCACTGTATCTGTCTGCCCTAATCTGAGATAAATATGATGTATTGTGTGTATTCAATTGCCCCATTCAAAGAAATATATACATATACACATACACTTAAAATTATATGATACTGTTTTTCATTTTCATACTTAAGCACTTTGTGATATTAATATTTAAATTACTGAAATCATTGTGGGATAAAGTGGTTAATTTCATAAGTGCATATTTTATACTAATATATAAAACGAAAGAGTTTGTTTGTTTGAATGCTTAGTGCATCTGTATATATATAATCTCTTAAACTATCAGTCATACTTAAATTTTTTTTTCTTGCAATTTGATAGCTCATTTAGTAAAGCTTTCCTCATCTTTTATAACCTTTTATAGGCTATTCAAAATTACAATGTGACCATGACTGAATGACAAGCTGCAGGTTATAGCTTTATGTAAGCAATTTGTAATTCTCTGAGAGAGAAGTGTTATCTATTTTGGCTTCATTTATATGTAGGTATATTATAAACATGCATATTATATAAACAAGTACTATTTATAGTAGTTCAACTATAAACTCAAATACTAATTATTTCAAATTATGAAAATGAACATTTTAAAAAATATTATATTATCTATTATTTAAGTGAAACCTAAAATAATCATGTGTCAAGTGTGATTATAATAGAGATTCAAAAACAGATTTTATACAGTGGATACATTTTTTAATTAAAAAAAAAAATTATAACAACAAAATATTTTAAATTAAGCTGCTGTATAATAAAAGCTTTATAAATATATTTTATTATTTGTTTAGGATTTGTAAAAATCTTGTTATAAAACTGTATTTTCAGGTCAGACAACTCCACAAGTTCCTTTCTAGTAGCAGTATAAACACATTTAAGGTTTAGTGCCCACCCTAGATTGTGAGCGAGGCTTTTAACTATTATTGCAAAGACATATCTGAGAGTTTGTAAAGTACTGCTTTTAAGGGGCAAGGCCTTCCTTTAAAAATAATATTAAATATGATGATGGAGGTAATATTAAAGTATGTCTTTACAGATGATATTACAGTGACTGCAGATGGAATTGATACATATCATTTGGTGAAAGAAGCTGGTAGATACAGGTACCTATACCTATACTAGATACAATTGATTGTTTAATATGCTATACAAACTCACTCATATCTACAATATTAGTAAAGATTTATCCAAAAATGTTTTTTAACGAGTAATCCTGTGTTTGTCAGGGATTTTTGAAAAAGTGGTTGAATGATTTTTTTCTTGAGTAACCAACTTATAGTATACCTTTGGTGTAACTGGGGACACACTCTGCCCAGATAACAGAAGTATGTGGGTTCGAATCCCATCAGATTGAGCTATTGGAATCTATTAGTTAGGATTGTGTTTATATAATAACTTTAGTTTGTTGATTATGTAGAAGTACTCCCTGAAATTTTAAAATCAATTATAAATGCTGTATTTTTTCCTTAATAAATACGAATTATTTAACTAATAGAACAATATTATGATGACCTTTATGGTGTAGCAGTTTAACTACTTTAAAATACATTTTGGTTATTTCGTATTTGACACAAACGCTTGTAATCCTGTTTGGTCGCCTGTACTTTGTATATATATATATATATATATATTTACAGAAAATAAAATATGCCAGTTTATTATTAATTGTCAGTATCCATAGATACAACTCCGTTTACTTTTGAGACTATATGTACTGTATGATATATTCAGAACTGTTTATTATAGTTATATACTACATTACTGTTAACTAATACAATAAATTATATTTTTTACAAAATTATCTACTGAAATAAGAAATAATAGATTCGCATCTGGGAAGCGTAAAGAGGCAGCCAGTGATGTAAAATTCTGGTGGTCGTGCTAGACAAAATGTAACTATATTCAAATCGTGAAAAATAAAAGAAGGCACCCTTTTTGCGACGGTAGTTTCGATTCTTGAGAGAAAAGATCTCGTATTATAATTACTTATTCATGATCACAGATATGTGAGCACTGAGAGTCAAAATGTTTCTGATGTTTATTTTTACATATCTAATTAAATAATAATAATCTATGATGTTATTCACATTATCCTCTTATTTTTAGGGAGGTGATGAGAACAGCTGGTGTATCTACAACAGATTTAGTTGGCCGAATGCTGCTACTTACCAGAGAACATTTCAAGTAAATATTAATTATTAATCATAACATTTATTCATAGTATTAATTAAGTACTACACAATCTGGTTGTCGACTTATTATAAAATACCAGACAATAAACGCGGGCATAGATTAGAATACCTCCATCTGTGTTCAAATGATCTGAAATTTTATAATTTCGTTTGGTAAATTGGCCCAAACGAGAATCAAAGCCGGAACCGGAAACCAGTACCCCATTTACACAAAGCAACATACTTGCAATTAATTAAAATATATTTTCCTTCCATAGTACGCTATAAAAATCGTGTACTTACATAGAGACTTCTTATGTGTTTTAAAAGACTAGGTGTTCAACATTGATTTGCAAATATATAGGTACTAATCGTAGTATAAAAATAAAAAAAAAAAATGCCTGATAATAGACTTGTGACAGTAAATTTCTTAAACCAAATACTAAAAACCATATTTAATCTTGACAGTTAGTAACCTGTTATCGTTAAATACATTTCAAACTACTACTACAAATTTTTAAGAGAAAGTGTTTATTCGTGTAAACCCTTACTGTTAAAAATTGAATATCTATGTAATCTATTGAATATAATCAGTTATTTGTGTTAATACTTTCTGGTAAAAATTAAACATTAATAATCAATGTCACATAACTACACATAAAAAGTCAAGTTGATAACCTCCCTCCATTTTAAAGTTGTTGTAAAAAGAAACAACGTAAATTAGTAACAAGGACGTAATAAGTAGGGACTGGACTTTGCCCTAGTTTCTTTTCATCTCCATGTATAATGTAGGCACGAAGTGAAATAAACTTGTTATTATAATAAAGTGCTTATAATGCTTATATTTGCAAGATCCATATAATGTAGATACCTACCTATTTATCAATTTTTTTACTTTAGTGCTTATTAATAAATATTAATAGTAAACTATTAATTCTTTTATGAAAGTGTTCTACCAGTGAAATTAAATATATTTCATAAAAAAAGGGTTGAAAAACGATAAACAATGTTAAGTATCTCCTGTACTAATGATTAACTTTACTGCTGCACGCACCTTGTTATGGAAGGCTCGAAATTGTTTGTCATTTTACGATCCATTCTTTGGGTAATTTATTTAACTTCAATAGTAGAACACTCTAATACACTTTTTTTAATGGGTGATAATGGAATGGTAACCTCGCCTGCGCTATCGGTATACGCTGGCGGGGCACCAGTGAGGCATGATAGGTAACGATGAAAGCAGGTCACTTAGCCCATCGTGACAATTCAATTAGAATTATCCACGATGGTTTCCAAGGGGAACCACGTGGAGGTCGACCTGACAGGTTATATTACTAGCAAAGGGTCAGCTAGACCCCATTACTAACAATCCCTTTCCCTTCAGTATTACACTGACTACACTACTGAATTACTTTCAGACACATTCATTACCGTACATAGATATTGTTTATGAGTAGAGTAATGCTAGTAAATTAATATAATAAACATTTATTGAAAACAAAATTAAATGAGAAAATTAAAATATAAAATCATCATATTCCTGACCTGTAAAATTCTATTCGTTCATTAATATAAAATTATCATATTACTGCAACATAGGAATCCTTCTTAAGGGGAGTTTTGCCAGTAGTTGCTATGCTCGGCAGGCGGGTTCGTAACCACAGTTAGTCTTTTGGTGTTGTTTTAAGAGGGGCTGTGCAGCCCATCCCTTGACGATTAAGTTCCTTCAGTCGACTCTTACGAAACACATGGGAAAGGAAGATGCAGCCCATTTTATACCGGGAGCACATGGCAAAATTCTATACTTCTTATTAAAGCAAATAATAAAATTATTTACTTCAATTGCTATATATCAGATTAATTTTTGCACTTAAGGAATGTTATCGTCTCCAGGAGAGGTGACAAAGAATATTCCGTGGCTCTGGAACATTCGTCAAATCTCGGCACAGATTCCACCGCACGATCGCCCTACACTGGTTGTTCGCAGTTCCTACCCACCACGCAGAAGATCATCCAGTTTAGCAGTGGTCTCTCGCCTAAGCCTACTGATAGGGTAAGTATTAATTATATTACATACTAACTTTTACCAGCGACTTCGCCCACGTGATCGGGATGCGTTTATTGACCGGGGTAAACAGTAGCCGATGTCTTTCTCCATTTCATATAGTACTTACCTGCATTTCAAATTTCATGTTGATATATACAGCGTATGGTACACGAGTACCAAATTTCATACAAATCCGTTCAGTAGTTTTTGCGTGAAAGAGTAACAAACATCTATCTATCCAACGTTAAAAATTTTTGCATATGTAATATTAATAGGATTAGTAAGTATTGACTGTTACTGCTATTCTTTCTTAGTTTTTTTTTTTTATTATAATAGAAAAAATAATGTTAATTATTTTGATTATTATTATTATTAGTTTTATAGCTATTTGTCAAATTTTATATCGACTTTAAGTAGACCTATACAAAAGATTTTTTAAATCGTCATATTCTTTTTTATTAAAAGTTTTTTTTATTTTGAGAGAGTTGTCGTACGTAAGGAATTTTGATAACAAATAGTTAAGTAACATAATCTTTACAAACTTTTTTATGTGTAATATTAGTACCTACTTGCTTTCAGTGTATTTGTAGATTGATTTGATTTATAATCAAATCGATGCTCTAATCTATCCATATCTATATGTTTAATACAAAAATAACAAATGCCGTGCCTGTAGGGGGCATATGTAATCTTTTCGAAAATTTTAATTATTTTTTTTTTTGTATTCTTTTTTGTCGATTTAATATTTTTATAAATATTTCTTGTATTTAGTATATATAAGACCCATAATAAAATATTACTTATTAATATAAATAATATATTAAGTTCAATTCTAACAAAAGGATACACTAAATTAAATGTAACTATGAGTTAATAATAACCTCACATTGGAATAAACCTTATCGGTTTTTTGTGTCAGTTATTAACATTCCTAGTTATCGACACATATTTTTATCTTTATAAATATATATTTATGTACGATGTAGTAATGTTCATATCCGCTTACATAAAGATCGTTACCCACATTTAACCGACTTTATAAAGGTGGTTTACACTCGACAAATAGTTTCTATATAATTATATCTAGGTTGTGATATATTTCGTTTAATAAAACCTTATATTAATTACACGTAATATATGAAATGAAGAAAGACTTTTTACTCCAATCTTAAATGGATGAAGTTGCTGGTAAAAACTAGTTAATAATATTTCAAATTTTAAAGACTTTTATTTTAATTTACTGGATACATTTTGCTTTTTGAGGCTCTTGGTGTGGAATTATATATGTATTGGGATCGATTCTAAGACGTCGTTGCTCTAAATGATTTTTTTTTATTATAGTTTCGCAAATGTTTTATTTTGTTTCATCATAAACTAAATTTATAGTAATTTTTAACTTAAATGTATTCATATTAGTTCTTAGAACAAAGATTTCGCTGTGATATTAAATTGAAATTATATTTTTATTTTAAAGATGGGTTTAGAGAAATGACGCTTTAAAATCGACCCTTAGAATTATCGCACGCACGAAATCATATTACACGAAGGCATATTAGTATACGCTGTTTGACTATAAGTGAGGGATGTCAAGTGACGCCAAAGTCGGCTTCGTTCACTTATCTTGACGAATTCACCAGGTAATAACCGCGAAGGTTTCACGTGTACCGCATGGAGCTCGATCTGTGTATATTGCTTGCAGTGATACTTCTGGCAGTGTCGTATCTCCTCACTTTCAGGGCACTTCCCTTGATAAAAAGTCGAGTCTAGGAATTCTGGGCGTTGATATATCTTGCGACGTCCAGTTTTGCGGTCATCTGGAGGAGAAGGCTAAGATAGCTTCCAAAAAGTTATGAGTGCTCAATAGGGTGAGACGATATTTCATGCCAGAACACCGCCGGAAATTATATAAAGCCCAAGTCAGGCCGCATATGGAATACTGTTCTCATACCAACTCCTTCCGTTTTCAAAGTCGGGCGGCTCGAATTATCGATAGTCAACGCCTTACTGTCCGACTTGACCCACTGAAACTGCGCAGAGATGTTGCATCTCTGTGCATCTTCTACCGAATTTATCATGGGGAGTGTTCTGAGGAATTGTTCGGATTGATACCTGCTGCTGATTTTCACCACCGTACAACCCGCCACAAACTAAAGTTTCATCCCAATCATCTGGACGAGTGGCGGTCTTCCACCGTGCGTTTTTCAAGGCACTTTCTTCCACGCACAACCATTCTTTGGAATCAACTTCCAGCAGCAGTATTTCCGAACCGATACGACAACATAACCTTCAAGAAAAGAGTATATTCCTTTTTAAAAGGCCGGCAGCACATCTGCAATGCCGCTGGTGTTGTGGGTGATCATGGGCGGCGGTAGTCACTTACCATCAGGTGAGCCGCATGCTCGTTTGCCCCCTGTGTTGTAAAAAAAAAATACTTACTGGATCTCCATTACTAAGAATCCCTTTCTATCCAATTATTTGTTTTTTTTTTTTATTATTTTTTATTGGGTGATAATGTAATGGTAATTCCATTTCCCGCCATGGTATACACTAGCGGGGCACCAATGAGGGATGATACGTGAGGATGAAAGCAGGGGGTTTACCATGAAATGAAATTCTGAATTTCAGATTCAATTTTGTGTTTTCGATCATACTGAAATCGGCCCAGTAAATAGAGCTTAACGTTTTGTTTGTCATAAATTCTACCATACAAGTCTAAAGAAACGATATTTGAAAAAATTTTAAACGGTACGTATTATGTAATTTTAAATTGTTTTGCTCGACCCCGAAATTTCGGAAACACTTCATGGTAGGCCCTCAGGTCAGTTAGTCCATTGCACAAGAAATAACCACGATGGTTCCAGGGCGAACCACTTGGAGGTCGACCTGATAGGATATATTCCTACCAATGGAGATGTTAGGTCCTTAGTCCTAACAATCCCTTCCCCCTATTGATTATGTTAAACATATTTTTACAGGTGGTATATGTAGCGGGGGCATTTGATCTCTTTCACGTGGGACACCTAGACTTCTTAGAGGAGGCACATAAACAAGGCGATTTTCTCATAGTAGGCCTGCACACAGACCTCGAGGTCAACCGCTACAAAGGATCCAATTACCCTATTATGAATCTACATGAACGCGTGCTCTCTGTACTAGCTTGTAAGGTAAAATCATTTATTTAGTTATTAACTTAGGACACTAAGACTTTCGCGTTATATGATTTATGGTTTATAAATAATATCCATTATGGTGCTCATCATTTAAATATAATTAAATAAAATATAGTAATTTATCTAGGTTTTCTCGACGTTTCGACATACATGTACCGGCCATAGTTAATTAAGTTGGCTGAGCTCACGTAACCTGGTCGAAATATTCTGATAACCCTAGATAAATGGTTACATTTATTTATTATGATAGCATTTAAGAATACATCTTCAGCGATACCGTAAAGTGACAGTCATTTAAAATCTGATTGTTAATTTTCCAGAACTCTGTTACAATTTACTGCCATTACTTATTTAATACTTTTTATAATGCGGTGCCGTTTAATATATTTGTAACAATATTATTTATTTTAAACGTTAAGTGCAACGACCTGCGAGCATTAACGAACGAAGCATTATTATTAAATATACCTTACTAACTTTTCCCTACGGCTTTGCTCCCGTGAATCAATATATAAGTTAGGATAACCTCTCAGTATATCAAATTTCACAAGTTTAAGCGTGATAAAGTACATACATACATCTTTAGAAATTTTTACATTTATATTATTAGTAGTGTTCTTATAGCAAATTATTAGAATATTCATGTCCTATTATATAAATCTCTAAAGTCAAGCTCTCGTTTACGGTTCAACCACTCAAGACTAAGGATCTCGAATGGTCCTGAAACTAGACAAGCTTTTTTAACCAAATTACACCCAAGTTAAATCGGTAGTCATTATATTATAATGTGTACTTACGAAGTTTTTCATAATAAAATCTGTCATTCCTACAATATTCTTTAAAAAAGAGAGAAGTTTTTTTTCGGTCTGATTATACCGGCCGTATACTTGTTTGCTACCTCAGTGGTATAAAAGAATAATATTGATTTGACCGGAAATTCCAAAAATATATTTATGATGATTCAAATTAAATTTTATAGAGAGGCTTAGCTTTAGTCCATTAGTGGACTGCATTAGTTTAATGATAAAGATGAAGGAATGTTTTGATAGTAAGTCGGTAATACATTTCCGTGGGATTCACGTAGCATAACTCACAGGTACGACTGTATATATATATATATATATATATATATATATATATATATATATATATATATATATATATATATATATATATATATATATATATATAATCTATCTTACCATTATCGACATCAAATTTAGATCAGCACTATTTACTGTTCTACACCAAATACACTCAATTGTTTTAAGAAGTTATGTATGTATGCAAATTATGTTTCATTGTCAGTTTAGTTTACAATGAGTGACCTTTGTATTATTTTAAAGTTATGTTTTAACGATAGACTCTTCGTACTTTAGATTTTTTTTTATGTTATTTAAAATGACAAAATAAACTGATGGCCCACCATTAGTGTATTTAAGTTTATTTTCCAGGATCTGGCCCCTTATAAAACGTGCAATATGTATCATTATACTAATATTTATCACTGCAAGCTTCGCTCTTATTCTGGGGTGAGCCTCAGTCAATTCTAGGACGGGCACCAGTCAATTCTAAGACTATTTTTGGATTTTTCCTATCCTATGTTAACTAACATAATAATTTGTTTATTCATAACCAACATTTGAAGTATGAAGTAACACAACACTTATACACCATAATTTATTGGAACACTCGATTGCTATAACTTCTGAAAAAGCACATCACCTTCATCTATATACTCATATAATTATTATTTCTCTTAAACTATGCAGGGCCGTAGCTAAACCCATGTTTAAGGTAGGGCAAAAGAACTTTTTGGTAGGGCACAAGCCATAATTGAGTGACGTCCAAAAAGCGAATCTATGTAATTTTTATTGGGGTATTTTAAGGGCATCGGAGCTTTTAAGACAGGGCATTGTAGCTACCGCTATACGGATCTACGTATATTGGAATTAAATTAATTAATGAATTTAATAACGTTTAAATTGCGATTATGATATAATTAGAAATGACTTACTTAACAATGTTGGGAAATAAATTCCACAAAGATAATATCATTAACAGGTTTAATCGCGGAAAAAATATCAATTATCTTCGCAACTGAATATCAAATTTTAAAAAGATCAAGGTTACAACTCGACTGTTTTTTTTTTTATATTATTCGATGTCTTCGCCAATAAATATTTAACTTGCTGAATTTTAAGTTATTATTAATTGCAAAAATACTGGTGCTTCTATATTATTTATTATTTTTGTATTCTTCAGTATTATTTTTATACTATACCTGACCTTTGACCGATAGTTTGACCTTATGACATTTTTAAGTCTGTAACATTACATTGCACGTAAATTACGTTATATTTACTTGTGAATACCGTTAGGTACACAATTTTATATTTTAACTAACGATTGGTTCCGGTGTGACCTTACTAATGTAATATAATTTTTACTGGACGGTGTCTGTAAATGGAAGTCATCGTTTTCCTATCCCAATTATTATTTAGGTCGGCTGTAATATATTTTTTTTTTTTTTAAGAAAAATAAGGGCTGTTTATAAATTCATTTTGAAGCTATTCAAGATAAATCTGCGTGATTTTTATGAATGTGTTTTGTAATTTGATTATGTAATATATCGTCTGATAATAAATAAAAAAATAGTGGCAATAAAAGTTACAATATTAAGTTTTAAATTTTTTGTTTATGTCTGTATGTTCCCTCACTCTTGTATTTTCGAAGATCTAATTTAAAATCTGGTGTATTTTTTATGATACGCTGTCTATAAGTAGCTACTACTTTCTAAATTTACGCGTACGAAGTTGTGAGCAAATATTATTATAAAAATAAAATTGTGGACGTACTTGTATTAAGTCTTTATATACGTATATGATGTTTTTGCTCCACAAAAAAGAACAGCAATTTCAATCAAGACAAAATTAATCTAGCACCAATTTGGAGCAAAACCTATTGATTGCAAAAAAAAAAAACAGTCTGTTTTTATACAATTTAGAATGGCAAATAAGCTAACGGCACACCTGATGGTAAATGGTAACCGTCCCCAATAGACATGAGCAGTACCATGGACATAACAGAGCATACTGTTTCGCCCATGATACCCCCCTCCATGCGTTGCCATTCCTAAGGACTCGGGTGTTATTCCTCTGTACCCTATAAATTCACGCCATATCCCACCCTTCAAACCGACTTTTATAAAAAAAAGTCTCCCTCTGGTTGAATTAGTGAAAATATAGGATAACATACACAATTTCTTTATGAAGTTGCTTAATAAATATTAAATTATGTTTCAGTATGTTCACGAGGTGGTGATCGGAGCACCGTACAGCGTGACCGCCGATTTAATGGATCATTTCCGCGTAAAGGTGGTATGCCATGGGTTGACGCCTACTGTGTTAGACGCCGATGGGTCCGATCCCTACACGGTGCCCAAACAGCGCGGATGCTTCAAGGTTTGCACATTATATATTAATTTTATTTAAATGTACCTAATATAATTAAAACTATATGAAATAGCGAAAATACTGAATGTCGTTTTTAGATAATTTTCATAAAACAGAAACTGGATCATTTGCTTTTTATAATTTAATTTAATACAGCTTTATAAATATGATCTACACTGTACGATATTATTCAAAATACTTTGTAGTTTTTATTCCACTATATTTATTATAAAATGTATATATAATTTACCGCGCGCTTTTTTTCTGACTTTATTAAAAATATTTTACAGGTTTTAAATTCGGGCAATACCATGACTACAGATGATATAGTTCAACGAATAATCCGCCATCGCTTAGAGTTCGAGGTTCGAAACTCTCGCAAAGAACAAAAGGAAGTTGCCATAACTAAGGCTTTACAAAAAGGCCACATAAAGCTAAATGGAGACTGTGAACATACGACGAAAGCGGCGAGTTAAGTCAAATATTAATCTTATATAATTTGTTACCAAATATTAATAATTTATTTATGTCGACACCATGAATATGAATTAATGTAAGAGACAAAATCATTTAAATAAACAATATACGTAGTTGAATTCAGAATTTTGCTCTATCAAAGCGTGTATTTAAAACTTCGTTACCTCCAGAAAAATCAATTCTTACCATATATATTTTTGCTAAAAATGTTAAAATATTGATCACACAAAAATTATTTTTCTAGTGTAAGTATGCGTCATAATAAAAAAAAATACTACTTATATATTAATCACTATTTAAAAATTTTTTTTAAGCTTACCAATGTTGCGGTATTTTAAAATTTTGATATTTGGCGTAGTTATCTATTACTTTATATTGTTTTTAGTCACGATTATACATAGCTATTTTGGCTGCAAACTTCGCCTGTAGCGTAATTATAAAGAACGAGATAGAAAGTTCAGTTTATTTTCGTATACGTTTACCAGTTTACTGTCTAAAAAATATTAAAAACTAATAATGCAATTTTAAGCAAAAAAACTAGAATTTTAAATATATAATTTGAATGGCAATCAGAACGATAAAGCAAAATAAAACAAAGCTCTCTAACTATATGATACTTATTTGCCCATTATTTTCTTGTATTTCAGTAAAGTAACGTGTTTACAACTTTTCTTAATAAGCTATGGTAACCACTTACCATTAGGTGGGCCGTATGCTTGTTTGCCACCTCAGTGGTATAAAAAACACAACCTATCTCTATATCTATAAATATTATCTTAACTTTAATAGTAATAAAACCTTTTCAAATCTAAGAAACTTGTGTAGTTGTTGTATAAAAAAGTTAAAATAAAAATAAAAGGAATTTTACTACTTCTACTACTAATTAACAAATTTTTTTTTTATTTGTCCCTTATCTTAATTCACATTTTCGGTATCAATATGTTGTTGTGCTGTTTAGTTAAACTTATAATTAAAATGTGTATTTATTTGTCAATTGACTATTATTAAACATAATTGTGTTATAATTATTAGATGATAATGAATTATCTAAAAGATTTATTTTCTGAAACAATCTTATTTATCTGTCTTATCAATACTCTGTCAGAAAATGGTGATATTTCAAAAGACCAGTAATATATTAATGATTATGATGATAGTATTTATTGTAGGTACTATGTAGAGAAATCATATATTATTTTCAATTGGGGACGTTCATTGAATTTCTGCCCCAATTTGACAATATCTCAGTAATTTCAATGATGGTAAACACTAAGAAATTGCCTAATTAATCCCTCTTGGATTAACAGCGGTATGCTTGTTTCTATTCATTTAGTTTCTAATATGCACAAGAAAAATGAACAAGTCTAGTTTTTTTAGAAGATATAAAAGACTTTAAATGAAATGACAGACTTAAACACGCAGATATCAACTTTATACTTATTCTTTACTTATATACTTTATTACACATACAAATTTATTTAGATATTAGAGATCTATAGCTGAAAACAGCTACCTTGTGTGGAGATTTTAATGTTTTAAAAATGCTTTTAAAAAGCGATAAAAGCGACACTGGTCAAGGTATTTATTAATAAAAAAATTAAGTTGGGGAAAAGGTCAAGTAGCTTCTTGTTATGTTTAATAGCAAATGCCTAATAAGATTATATCGCGTATGTAGATAGCTGTAGTTGTCTGCAATACCGATTACCGATACCAAAGTTGGGTACTGTGAACTAATATTAAATTTATATTAATTTTTATTTGCTAAATTGGAGAACTAGGTGGTCTAATATACATAGCTAACGGGTTAGTTCGCACAGTTATTCTGACCCTGTTGCAAGTCATAATCACGACGTAACTGATGAAATGCAGGTATGATGATGAAGTTATGATTAATGCGTTCAAAACAAATATTCGTGGTAATAACCCGTTAATTATTTATATTAAGTGCTAAAGACGACCACCAAATTCTTAAAAAAAATAAAGGGGTCTAGAATGGTCACTTTGGGGTATTGTTATAAGTTCTTAAAATGAAATTACGACATGTATGGAGCGGCAGTAAAAACGTTACGAAAACTTGTCTAAAAAGAAAAATTAACCTTAGTCCAATGTCTTTAAAATTAGAAAACTACCCGGCAGTAAATATTCTATAATTATAAGAAGAATCGTATGTCCGATATATGTGGGGCTTAGACCGTGCATCAAAGCCCCGCATACATAGCCATATTGTAACTATCCAATTTTATAGAAAGATTATTGCTTTTGTCGTTTATATTAATCAAAGCGATTACTTTTTTCGTGTTTAGTAATTGTTAAACTGTGTAGAATATCATCTTTGTCACTCCACATAGTTACGGCATATTAGTAACATAGGCGATGGTATCGCGTATTCACATATTTATTGCCGGGTACTGTAAGTATGAGAATTAAATAAATTTTTTATTCGTAATATAACTAATGCCGCTATAAAGGATGTTATTTTTATATTAGGTATACATTTAAAGTGCTATGGATGCAAAAGGACTTTCGCCTTCTGTCTAATCATAATGTAGATTCTTGTTTCCTTAGAAATTTAATAAGTATGAATATTTCACATTGTTAATATATTAGCCACTAAGTAAGTTACTGTTTAATTGTTTCGTAATTATGTACATATACCACCAAAGGTATAGATAAACGAATATTTTTGTATACTCGATTCAAAAAGGTAACATACCTACATGTCTTAATACGAATATAAAATGGTTGCCCATGTGAATTGTTATAAGCAATTTTGCTACTCATTATTAAGGTAGGTACATAATATAAGAATAGTGTAACATCAATTTTTAATGTAAGTATCTATGCATTTGTAATTCATATTTTGCCCGCCTATATATTGTATGTTATTGTAAAAAGACTAGCTGTTCCTTCAATTTATTCGCATGCATTTCGATTGTAATTATGCTATGGAAACCATCTACAAGGTTAAAACGTCCAAGCAATCACTCCAAAATTAAAATGTTATCTTTTTCTGTCTAACATAAGATGCTGGTATACAGTATACAACTTGATACTAATTATTTCTTGTGCCGCTATTAAAGAAAGAAATAAAAAGAACATTGTTCAAAATTTGTTTTATTGATAGTATAAACTACTGCATCAAATTGGATACAGTTTTTACAATTGTGTTTCTGAAGGTCTATCTTGAAATCTGATGTAGGTTTAACTTAATACACCATCTTTAAATGACAAATTTCATTACATTTCCAACTTCTGAAATCCACGCAGAAAAAAATGTAGCAATAAAAAGCTACTTATTAATACAAAAGCAGTATTAACTATATATTATTATAGTGTCTAAGTTAAGACTATACCAGATAAATATCTAATTTCTCTGTTATAAAGAATTTTTATTGCATTTGTAGTTACAAAAGAAATGAGAAAATACATAGCAGGTATCACGTGCTATTTGCAAGATCAATTGTTAAAAAATTAATTCTTTATAATTTTAGTTCTTACATTGTTCTACAGAGGCAGCACTAATGGTTGCTACTAAATGTTTTCATGTAGATAAAGCCTATTATCAATAAAAAATAAGTAATATTAAAATGAAAATTTATAATAAATATCGCTAAATTTTCGGTGTTATCATGATTATTTTTTAATATGTGTGTGTTTCACGAATGCTAATAAGCTTCCCGTCAAGTTTTTCTCAAGAGACTACAGCATGGGCTTCTTCAAAAAAAGGTAAAGAGGCTACTACAGATTTGCAACACGCACATAATGCTTCTGATATTGCAGGAGTTTAAAGGTTACGGTAATCGCTTACCATTAAATAGGCCGTATGCTTGTTTACTATCTCACTGGTATAAAAAGTAAAAATGATAACTAAGGATGAAAACAGGACTTTTTTATATCGATGATAATGGACTTGATAATATCTTCAGCGCTATCGGTATACGCTGAAGTGTCATCTTCAATTCAACTTTTAACTGTTGATTGCATGAATATAAATCTCCTCCTAGATGGGGTTTTGTCAGTAATTGTCACGTTTGGTAGACGGATTGGCAACCGCAGTTAATGGCTTTGTAAGTGTTTTAAGAGGCACGCTTCTGCCCATCCCTCGCTCTTCCTTAGTCGCCTCTTACGACATCCATAAAAAAAGAAGGAGTGTCCTTTTTTATGTCGGGACCACATGGGACATCAGTGAGAAATAATAGTTGAAGTGAAAACGAGACAGTTAGCCTGTCGTAACGAATTCTACAAAAATTAATCTTGGTTCATTCTTGTACAACTTAATAAATATTTCTGATGCGAAAATTAATACCGGTTGTTGTTTTACAATATTTTCTAAAAATGAATAGTACTTTTTACTACAAAATTCTGGCAACACTAGTACAGAGTACCTATAGAATAGAGCTAGACAATTTTTACTTTTTATGACAAGAAAAATTCAAAATGGCAGAAAAGTTGACTAAAGTCTTTAGGTGATCTACTAAATCTATTTATTTTTCGAGTGAAAATTGAATAGTGACGTGGTGTAACGGATTTTGTGTATTTGTTCACTGCCATTGATGTTATGTGTTTTGAAAATTTTGACTATTATAGCAATATTTTAACAAAGGTGAGTTTATTACATTGCCGCCCACTACTTTGTTTTCGTTCTGTTTGGTTTTGTTTTAAAATGTACCTAATATTTAGAATGTAGGTGCGTCCAGTGTATTTTTTTGGAAATAGGAACAAAAAAATATTTTCTTTTCCTTGAATTTATCACATAGACAACTAGACAACATTGTATTGGATTGTGCGGTAACCAGACACTACGCATCAAAAGTTATCTATTATTAACTTGTTGATTAGCAGTTTATTTATTACAGGTGTGTACTGTAGATGATTGCTAAGAATGATTGTTTTATGAATTTGATACATTTGAGATATCAACAAAAGTAAATTTATAGTAGCCATAAATGATTGAATCAATGAAGGTACTAATATTTGCACCTGTTTAGATAGGTATGTTTTACTTTAATTTCCTGCCACCTTATACCATACAAATTGTATTATGGCAATAAAATATGAGATATTTTAAATATGTATTATTTATCTTCATGCTAAGTCCTTATGAGTCCTTATTTTACTAAGACAAAATATTTTTGATTATGTGACAAAATTAGTTATTAATATAGTATTAGGTAGATTTATATTTAAAACTTTATTATATCAGCTGTTAACTGCCTACAGCTAAACAAAGGCCTTCTTCTATTGGAGTGTCTTGCCAGTAGTTGCTACACTTCACAGACGAGTTCGAAACCGTAGTTAGGTTTTGGTAATGTTTGCTATCTATCCCTCGATAACTAAATTCCCTTAGTTGCCTCTTATGACACCCACAGGAATGGAGGGTGTGGTTCATTCTATGCTGGAACCATACAGCATTCATTTACTAATACAAAATATAAGGTTAATAAAATATACTATTTTTAAAAAGTGTTTATGCATTTTTAGCGTGACATTTCCCTTAGATGTTTATGATCTAGAATGTGTTCATGACTAAAATTGTTAGTATAGACTATTGAACATTTAACATAGATGTTTTGTGACCCACCCTAGGGTCATCATTTCAGCTGTTAACTGTCTGCTGCTGAACATAAGCCTTCCCCATAAGGGGAGTTTTGCCATGCTTGGCAGCCTGGGCAACTTAAGTTAGGCATTCAGAGATGTTTTAAGACAGATGCTGCTTTCCATCCCTTTACTATTAAGTTCTTTGAGTCACCTCTTATGACACCCACTTTAAAGGAAGGTGTGGCTTATTCTATGCCGGATCACATGGATAACCTGGGCTTCGCATAGGTGTATCTATGTACTTGTACAAAAGTTTAATTAGTATATATTATACATGCTAACCTTTAAAAGTTGTCTGTATTATAATAAATTCCATATCAAAACCTGCTGCTAGATTTAGAAGTATATGGAGAAATAAATACAGATAGGGACATAGTTTTATACTGTTTAGAGATAATGTAATAGAACTGTTTATTAATAACTGCTTTTAGTTCATTAGTAAATACCCTTAATATTGTTAAAGAGTTTTTGTTAAACTGATTATAAACTTGTATTAACAAGATATCTTATTCGTAATAAGTATATTGTAGGAGGTGATAATAGGTAAAGAATTAGTGCTGGTATTATAATACAAAAGCTTTGTAAGGTATCTAGAAAATAATTAGTTGTTTACTAGTTTTTACTTTATTTTATTGAATAATATTACTATGAGGAGATATACCCTTTATTGTTAATTAAATTGGAAATTAATTATTGTTAATTTATTGTAACTTGTCACCATATTGATGTACTAAAGCACATTATTATTATTATATTTATTTATTCTAAAAATTGATATCAACAAGGAGGATTTTTTCATGCCATCCATTTTGTTGTAATGTATCACTATATGGCACTAGCACAATCATCTGGTTGGCATCAAAATTGGTATATAATACCTATAGATATTTTATACCAATTTGTTGTTGTAATAGACAAGTAGATGGTGCTGCAGCACATTAGGTTCATATTCATATATATAAATATGAATTCTCTAGCACCTCTCTTACAATAAAATTTTTAAGAAAATATTGTTCAAAATTAATTCAAATTATACCAAAATAGTCACTACTTCTAAAAAGCCAATTAAAATGCAAAATCAAAGTCAAACAAAGATAAATAACATACCTATTCAAAATGTTAAGAACTTTAAGTACTTAGGAAGTATAATCACATAGGATGCTAGGCGCACATTGGACATTAGAACTTGAATAACAATTGCAAAACAGGCCTGTGATAACAAAAAATATATATTTATATCAAAAATAACAAAAATATTCTACACAAGTTTTATAAAAACTTACATTTGGAGCATAGTATATTACATGAGTCTGAAACATGGACAATGATGCAAAAGGAAAGAAAGATGCTTGAGGCCATATTTCAAATAAATATGGACATGGAGGAGAGTGAAAAGGATAAGCTGGATAGAAAAGTAACGAATGAGGAAGTCTTGAAAAGGGATGAATGAGAAAAGAACATTAATAAAAACAATAGAGAATAGAAAAGGCAAAATGCTGGGTCACCTTATACGACATGATAATTTTTTTAAAGAGTATAGAAGAAGGAAAAATAGAGGGCAAAAGAGGAAGGGGAAGACCAAGTATTAAATACATGGGTCAGATAAAGGAAATATTAGGTGTCATGTCGTATAGGCAGAGCAAATATATGGCATGGGATAGAGCTGGCTGGAAGAAAAGCATGAATTAGTTGCGTCGACAAGAGGAAACTTAAATGAAAAGAAGAGCACCTCTCTTACATCTTGGCACCTTTTATTGAACCCTGGTATTTTCTTTGGATTTCGGCGCTCCGACCAACAGGAAACCCGCCCCGAGAGGAAAACGATTATTAATAATGGGGTCTACAGTGATTATATGAAATATACCATATCAGGTCGACCTCCTGTGGTTTCTCCTGAAACCCCTAATGTCTAATTCCGGGTGAATTCGTCACGTTACTGAACTGACCTTATATTTACTTATCATCATTCAATGGCAACTTTTCAGTGTATATCCGTAGCTTAGGCGAGGCTATATTATCATCCCATAAAAAAGACCGCCCTTCTTTCTGTTGCTGGTACCGTGGGACGGGGGTGAGGGGAATTCCTGTTTTGATCTATTGCTCTGCCTTATGTTAGATTGATATTGGGGTACAATTCTGTACAATCGATCGGTACTCTGTCATATCCATGGTACTACTCATGTCTATAGGCGACGGTTACCACTTTCCATCAGGTGGGCCGTCAGCTTGTTTGCCATTCTAAGTTGTATAAAAAAAACGTTCTTCAAATAAATAATGATGTAAATTCTCCCAAACATATCGTATCGTTCAGACATCCATTAAGTTCCCATGGGATCTGAAGATAACGGGCCGAGCTATAGGAAACAACTTATGCAATGAGAGATTATTTTTATAAATCATTGAATGATAAACAAAATTCCGTTCAGCTTGAAAGATCTAGAAGTAGCCTGCCGAAGGCTGCAGGTTTAAGCGCGAACAGCCTGAGATGCGCGGGCGCCGCGAACAGCCCGAGCCGTGAGTCATTCCCGCCCAAAAATAACTTGAAAACGGGCGCCGCCTACCGGCCGGGGCGGGCGGCATTCAGTCAGTGGCAGCCGCGACGCCGCCGCCGCTAGAAGAGCGGTCGAGGTGGAGCGCGCGAGCCTTACTGACGTGGTGGCGGCGCCGGCGCGTGATGCGCCGCCATGCCCGTACGACACCGCGAACTCGGCGACGAGCTCGCACCACCGGAGCCCAAGCGCTGCAGACACTGCGACGGTACGATACATATTGCTTTGTGCTGCAGGAGTTGTCCTAACCATGATATTACAATGTGATTCAGCAGCTGCTGCAATATCTAATCAAAATATTCTCTATGCTTCCTGCAATTGGAAGCTTTGTGAAATAAATAATATTTTTGTCAAATAACATAATATAGAAGGATGAAGTAGTTGTTTTTATTTTGAAATTAAGTATACTGATACTGATTCTTTTGAAAGGTTCATTCATTAATTTTGCTGCAGGTATTAACTTTACAAAAAATCTTTATATATTCTTTTCCTTACAGGAAATATCGACTAATTCATGGTACTGATACAAAGATTTTAACCCAGGATTTTGTTTTTAATTAAGTATCCAACAGTTCTAAAAATTGTTTTTAATATATAATTTGGATTCTATATATCTACACTACCATTATAATTTAAAAAGTCCATGTATAGAAAATATCACGGTACAATTTTTATTATTATATATCTAGAAAATAAAATGACTATTTTTTTATATTTGTACTAAAATACCTTAATTTTTTGTCAATGGTCGTTGTAGAAAAGTAAAAGTAAAATAATTTATTTTGTTGCTGGGTACTACCATCATAGAATGACTCCATAGCGATCCGTGATGGCAAAGTTGCAGATACCAAATGAAGTAGGATTTTGTAAACTATTTTCAACTTGATCTAGTTTCTCGAATTTATAAACACTGCGCTTTGTTATTTACATTTACTAGTTTCTATTTTTTACGAATAAATTATTATTACGTGTATTAATTAATAAATTAATCATGGACGTTACTGTGTTCCTATCTTACGACTTAATTTATGTTTGGCACAAATGTTGACTAACAAACGTGTTGATTTATTTATATGTCTTGCTTTCAGTTACAGTTAAGAAACCGAGAATTTAAAGAAATAAGTTAAATTAAAAAAAATATAAAAAGTATATTTTAAATCATATTAATCAAATATTTGTTTGATATTTTCTTCTATTGGATTGATAACCAAATAATCTTAAAAATACTATAACCAATTACCAGTTATAAACTGACAGGTCGTTCTGTAAGTTATACACTTAAATTTATTAACTATTGCCTAGAATATAACATTGCGATCAAAATAAGAATAGGATTGACTTTCAACCATATCGTAACGTGTTAACAATCAAAATAAACTGTTTAGGTAGACTCTTAAGGGCGAACAAACAAGTGGAATAAATATACGAGTATACAAATGAACCATGAGTTTAAATCTCGAGTTTAATCTTCGGCACTAATGATTGGCAATTTACTACAACTGCTGTCACTTTTCAAGTGATAATTTGACAAGTCGAGGTCTGTGACATTCCCATTCTTTTTGAGGGTCATCAATTTACATAAAAATAAATGTGATCACGACTAGCCCTAATAGGGATAGGTAATCAAAGGTATATACTTCTTTCTGTAACTTTCGTGCTTACTAAATTATCTGCATAAATTACAGTGACAAATAAAACTATAATATTAAAGTTACGGAACCCTGAAAGTATAGATTAGTAATAGTCTTAGGAGTCGTCAAGTATGTATGTCTCTTGCTCAGTTCTTTTTAATAATGGGGGCTGTATACCTCGTTTTCCCTTGCATTATGTACGATTTAAAACATCGCTCCTCTCTCTCAGTTTAGGTCCTATTTTTTTATTATTTTACCTGTTAACAAACTATTGCATTCTTTGTCTAGTCTTTGAACGAGGTTAACTAGTGCTACAATATGTAACAAACTTCTAGAAAGAGCTCAGTACATTTTGATGATATCACATTATAGATGCATGTGATATCAGAGGTATTATTTCTGCATTTCCGACCTTTGTGATAATATGACGAAGGTCTTGAGTTCCAATACACACAAAATTTTACTGTCATCCTTAGTAATATATGAAAGAGAATTTGTTTTTTTTTGTTATCTATTGACACCCTGATGGCTCAACATTTATGAAATTTGGTATTAATGTATTATTAGGACTGGAGAATGATATAGGCTACTTTAATCAATGTATCTCGGTCACACGGACGAAGTCATGTTTAAATTCTGGTATCTAATATTTCAAACAGGAATACAACAATGTGAACATAACAACTTAACGGTAGAAGTACTCATAGATGAAACACAAGTATCCAGTCAAACGATTTAGCATAATTACTCTATTGTTTTCCGTTAATTTTTGTATTATTTTTAAATTATTATATAAGCAAATGGCGGTGTGCGCTCCCGGTATAGAATAGGCCACCCTTTCTTATCCAGTGGGTGTTGTAAGAGCGACTAAGGGTGGGCTAGACATGGGCAGCAGCGTCCCTCTTAAAATATCTCTAAAGCCTGACTGCGGTTGCCAATACGCCTGCCAAACGTGGCTACTACTGGCAAAACCCCCCAAGGGGAGGCTTATGTTCAGCGGTGGACAGTTAAAGACCGATATGATAATAATGATATAATTAAATTATGACACATTATTGTTGTTTACATATGTTAAATATCCACTTCAGAACCATCTTAACTGCGTTATTTACAGTATAGTGGGAAAATTCCCATTATACTGTTATTAATGAAGTGGGAAGTGATAGAGATGAATTTCCTAACCTATAATGTGTGAGACTTGAAATCAGATGTATAATAGCATCTACTAAAATTACTTTTTTTAATTGCTCTTTTTACAGTAGTTTAAGTAACGGGATTTGGCATCGTACTATCACATTTAAACTGTAACGATATAAAAATACAAATGGATTTTTGTTTGCTCAGTTATTTAGTTAAATTGCAGCAGAATTTAGCTTGCCCTTAGTCACTGGTGTAATATGTGTCAGTGCGTCGGGAGTGGATGTCGGTAAACAAGTCTGAAACTGGCCACTTATGTAACTGGAGTCGTAAACAAATGTGTTTCGGCGTACGTTCGCCTTACCTCGCGTTACACCTTGCCGCTTACATAATTTGAGGGCGTAGAAGTCGCACGCGCCGTCTGCACTGCAAGCCATTGTCACACTTCATTCAATGTTCACATGCATTAGATGCTAATTATGTTGTTTATACCTTAGATACTAATTATGTCATATCTTAGTCGTTTTATGGCGACTTTTAGGACTTCAGTAATCGTGAGATTGTAACTGGCAATAATTAAGAGATAATTAAGAATTGTGTGTCAAAATAATTGTTATCAATTATAATTAATCAAAGAGATCATTTCATTAAGTTCACCTTCAACCATTGGATTGGAATACGATTATGTAGGCGAATTCGAACAAGTAATTCACCATGATTCACGGTACCGCTTCAGGCTCTTCTGTTCAGAATCGTCATTATAAGTGATTTTCTCATATATAAGTTGATATTAGACCAATATTACCACGCTTGTTTAATTACCAGAAAGTTTTATTTTAAATTTTTCTTCTTATTTGACCTGTCATTTTTCTTTAGTAGTTAGTCATAAAGATTTTTAATTCATGATAAAAAGAGCAGGAAATCATAAATTATTATCGCACTGTCGGCGAATCCTTAATGATATCATTCTCTGAAGGTAAATCCAATATTATACCAAATCGCAGCCTGTTTTTCACACTGTTATTTTTAGATTCCATAAACAGATGGTTAAAACGGAACCTTATAATTTCCTTATATCGGTCTGTATTGGTCATCTTCATTTTTTACTAATGTTCGATCTTCAATAAATTTAATGTATATATAATATATACATATAGGATCGTCATAAAAAAGAAACAGAGAGACATTGATCTCCGTACATATTTTTATTAGAATTAGTAGATGACACAGACGGATATTTTTTTTATAAAGTGTCACATTCCCGAACAAACTTTCTAAGTGTTGGAAAATTAGAAAGTTTTTTTACTGCTAACCTATAGTACCGTCTGTACCTATATCAGCGATAGGGGCTTTAGATTGGTTACAAAATTAATCGTGCGTGATCGGCCATTTTTAGGAGGTTTTCATACAACGAATAATCAATAGATCGATACGAATTTCACTCAAATATTTAGATACGTTCCTACTCCACGAGTCGGTATATTATGTATGACAGAGGTGTGTGAGTGACGGCATCAGAAGCAGTGTTGTGACAGGTGTGGCGTCACCGGCGGCGAACGACGGGCTAGACTGTTGGGACGCCGATTAATTACTGCGCCCCTAGACCAGACCGAGACGATACGAATGAAATCATCGATCATAATTTACAGCTACGAACAAAATTATTATTACAAACACCAGAAAATTTATGTTTTAACAAAACTAATTAAAATGAAAATATTTTAATTAATGCAACTCACTGTATAATAACATTAACTGTATTATAATGGATTTTGTTTAATTTTGAGATCATCGTTCACTGTTTGTTGAAGAAGAATATTTTGCTGAAGAGAATGCATATAATTCTGTTTTGATTCTAGGAGTTAGGGGAAAATATAAATATTTTGACGTGTTATTTATATTAATGTAATATAACACTTTCCCGTATCATCACTTGTTTTTCGCGAAGACTGTTGTTGTTGTTTAATTTTTGTCATGGAACACCCACGATGTTACACCAAAGTAGGTACAGCAAAATATATTATAATATTGTACTATCTTTATTATTAGTATACCCAGTAATAACTTGTCTTTCTGTAAGGAATCGGTCATGAAGGGTTAATTAAATTATCTGTCTCTTCTATTTTTGCTATCAACCAGTTTATTATATAAAGTCGGCAATATACAAGAAATACTTTTGATGTTGCCAATTTTGTGTTGTTGAAAGGGTTGTTATGGGTACTTACCATTACCTTACTATATCGTTAGCTAAACACCTGATACCTATTATCTCATACAAAAACGTCTTATACGTTTTTTATGGTCATATTTTATTAATATTAAAAACGTAAGTAAAGTTTGTAAAATATTTGTAATCCTGGTAAATCATCCTCAGTTGAATGTTTTTAATGAAATGGTTAGTTGGATCTTATCTAACTTACGTGGATTATACCTACTTCATAAATAGAATAAATTAATAGGAGCCCTTCAATCAGTAGCTCTTATTAATTTTTGAAGTATTATTCACACATTTGCCGCCAGTAGCTTATTCAAATTTCTCTTACCAATTTTTATATCTTAGTTCATAACCATATTAAATAAAATTTTTTGTTAATGAAACTGTAATTTTATAATAATAAAAAAAAATTGGCTCCAAATTTGACTCCCCTAAAATCTGCTGGTAAATCCGTCATTGCCCTAAACGTGCGTACTTTCATTTACAGGATATTAATATTATTGGCCGTGTGTCTCCCGGCATAGAATAGCCTACTCCTTCCTTTTCTGTGGGTGTCGTAAGAAGCGACGAAGGGAACTTATGGTCGAGGGATGGGCAGCAGTGTTCCTCTTAAAACATCTCCAAAAGCTTAACTGCGATTGCCAACCCGCCTACCAAGCGTGGCAACTATTGGCAAAAAATTCCTTATGGGAAAGGCTTATGTTCAGCAGTGGTCAGTTAACGGCTGAAATGATGATATTAGTATTATCACTATCATAGTGTCTCTGTGATTTATCATATAACGTGTCCTCAATTTTGACGAGAAAATTGTGTCATTTTGTAACTGATTCAACTGCATTCTTTTTTATTGTTCTAAAATTGTATTTTTCTTACGAAAGGCTGATTTAAATGCATAAAAAAATCGTTTAAAAAGGGATTATCCAGCGTTAGCTCATGGAACTATTTTTACTTTTGCCTAAGTAGTCACAAATAATAACCATTAGAATACTATTACACAGATGTGAAATGTACATATTATAATAGTATTATTTCGTAGTCTAACAAAACAATTGTACAGCGTCAACCAACATGCTCCATTCTGACAAAAATAGACTAGATTTTAAATTTTTTACAAATATATCAAATGTAAGTTCACATACTAAACATCTAAATACTAAAAATGGATATTATAAAAATAGTGTTTATTTTCTAGTGTGAGATAAATCTTTTGACACCCAAACTGTTATTTTTCACGTCGTAAAATTACGTTGTAGCTATGAGTCGTGCATTTTTCCACGATGTCGTTGTTGCCTCTAAAATAAAAGTCGTGAATTTCCATCCAAGAAATGTGTCTATTTATGCAGCAAGCGTCGGCGTCTCGGTTGTAGTGTAGGTAGTAACTCTGTCGCCCATAAGAACGGAATGTTTGTTTTGAGGAATCGCAAACAAACTTATAATTATTCTCAGAAACGTAACTCGTACGCAATGTGTAGTTAAACTGCCCATCATTTGGAGGAAATGTTTGTGATTGATTTCTCGCTTTTTGAGTGTTACATTATGTGTCTCACCTTTGCAAGTAACGTAGATAATTATTATAAATAAAAAAAAAAATAATCATTATTTCTAACTTAATACTTATATGAAAAAATCATGAAAATTCCACAGATTAGTAATATAAATTACGTTATTTAGAAATCTTAGATTAAAAACAATATTTTTTTTATCCAAATACTAAGATAAAAATATACCGTTATTTTGTCACAAAAATATACTTGAAATAAAAATAATAAATAATTAATAGTTTTATTAGATTAATTATTAATTTATTGAATATTTTTTTTAATTTAACAAATTTAAATCAATAACATTAATTACAAAATGAATGAGTTGAATGAATTTGGATGAGATTTCGTAAAAAGATATACCACATCCTAGAGAAACCGCGATATATAGTTAATAAATATTTTTCTCACGTAAATTGAGAAGTCATTCTTATATTTTTCTTTGCGTCAACTTGTTACTACAATACAGATTTTCGTCGGAAATAGACAAACCTTGTATTGGTGTTGTTTGATTATTTTGTAATGATTGTTGTGCGTCGCAGGAGGACAGTACCTCATTCGACAGTTTATGGGTGGCAGTTAAATATACCCGGTCTCGGTTTGTCGTTACAAATAGAATTTTGGCACTGACTGTCTGTGGTTGTGTAATTCACATATAAACCACTTGTTGAATTTAAACTATCTGCTCATAATACAGTGTTATCATAAACATATTGTCATTATTATACCTATATCTAGCGACTTGCGTATAATGCTAATTTAAGGGCAGCGGTTTTCCTCCTACGTAAATAAATTAATGTTACCGTTTTAATTAACATCAATTATAAATGTTAAATATACTATTAAGGGTTATAGAAAACATTTTGGTGAAAGTTGAGTTGCACATGATTATAAATTCTATGATGTAGTTGTTTCATTTTGATTTTGTGAATGTAGTATAATATAATCTTTACATATTTACTGAAATATGTGATAGTTTTAAATATAGATTTTTTTTAAATATTGTAATGGAACTTTATATTGTTAAAATCTTAGACAATATAAAATATATAGACAATATAACCAATTGTTAGACTTCTTACCTATTTGCTTGTTTGAGCACGTTTCGCACGTAATCTACCGGACGTCCTTTTTTGTCGACATATCATACTTTTTACTGAGGAAAAATCTCTTTTTTATTACAAAAACTGGTTTCAGTGAAGAGTACGGTGAAAATAATATATTTGACAGATTTAAAATTGTAGTCGGTAAGTAGTTAGATCTCCGTTATCTGTTCCGCGTTGCCGGACTTTCGGAAACATGAAATAATTCACGCTTGAAAGACACGAAGGCGAAGACAAAATCGCGGGAAAAAGTAGTCTTCTCGAATGCAAGTATACGTTTTTTAATTTTTTAATAAAATATATTAAAAGATAATGTGCTAAATGTAATTCCAAAGTAACACGAGTATACTATTACAGTATGTATATACTTAATAAACCATTTTTTTCCTACTATAAGTAGACAGTTATAGACAAAAAAAAAACTGTCATTTCATGATTATAAATATCATGCATTACTATTTAACATGTTTTATAATGTTGCGATTCTCTTACTTATAATGCTTATTGTAATAACTGTATTAGTATAATTTAATACTGTCAATTGATTCTATTTTTTTTTCTCGTAATGTTTTGATTTTTATTATACAGTCACTAATTGTAATTTATTAATAACAATGGGCCCATAATAACACATGAAAAGGTGTTAGACAAATATCAACACTATCGACAATGTGTGAGAGTAATTAGCCGTGTTGTCCTTGTTCTAAATCCTCACCTTGACCTCGTTGCGTTTCTTGGCGATCCACTATCCGGTTTTACACTTCTTTCTGGACCTATCTCATAAATAGGCAGTTGGAAGTTTACCGGCAGATAATAAATCTTCACATCGAAAAACAAGAATAGTACAGAACAGTGGCGACTGTTCAGGATAAACAAGTATAAAATTTGTATCATACGTAGATTTTTAGGTTCGTTAGAGTAAAATGTATAAAACAGAATGTTATAATTTGGTCATCTCTATTCATCTATGTGACTGGCTGTACAAGTTACGGTATAAACAAAAAACCTTTATACGTGATCTTGAAAATATTGTTTACGACCTTGATGGTGAAGCAGTTTAACATACTGACTCATCTTCCGATAGTTGTTGGTTCGATCCCTGTACAAACAAACATTTGTATGTATGAGTATATCTGCAAGTATTAATCGAAGCACTTTTTCTATATATGTTTATATTTACAAAAGGAAATATTTTTACAAGTATGACTATCACTTGTATGAGTATAATAGCTACAATTTACCTAGTAAATTTTACCTTTTAATTTTGGACTATTTTTTTTTTGATGGCTGGAAATGGTATGGTAACCCCGCCTGCGCTAACGGGATACGCTGGCGGAGCACCAGTAAAAGGTGGTAGATGAGAATGAAAACAGGCCAGTTAGCCCATCATGATGAATTCATCAGGAATTAACCATGATAGTTTCCAGAGAGAACCGTAAGGAGGTCGACCTAGTTGGGTATATAGCTAACAATGGGATTCTCTGTCTCCATTACTAATAATCCCTTTCCCCCCTATTTGGGACTATTAGGATTGTATGATCTTATGTATATATTGATTGCTGGTGATTGTATTTTGTGGAATTTGAAAATAGGTAATCTTTGATAGGTTTTATTATATTACTAGTATTCTACGGCTTTCACCTCGTGTAAAAAGTATAACGATAATTTGTGATATGGTACCTATGTATCTATTATGTTTAATTCCGTTCAGCTATTAAGGTGTGATTAAGTCATAATGGGATGAAATTAAAATTACTTCATATTAACGTCATCTTAGGTCTTCGTAAATACGAACACGTTTGCGTCTTTCACAATCAGTTAACGTGGCTCCCTTTCCGACTTCCACGTGATACGCATATCTTATCTTTCCTAATATAATATATAATGATATTTATAGTACCAATAAGCTGTTTATTTCTACCTTATGTATTAGTATTAATATCGTTCGTACAGCACTCATGCATTTTAGCTTCCCGCTAACTACATGCTTTATCACTGTAATAGGTTGACTAGAAGAAATCTCTTTCAGAGATAACTCCACCCTTGCTCACAATATTTATAAAAAGCTTCGCAGATGATTGCTAATTTTTTATAAAATGTTTTAATTGATAATAAATTTCTTGATGGGTTAAATCTTAGATTGAAGTACGTTATACATACTACGTCTATTGGTTACATGCAATTTTTTTTTTACAAACGGCGCCTTTTGTTATTAAGTGGTCAAATACAGAATTAATTCGTATCAGTAATATTAGTTTTTAAATCGCTCTGCAGAGACGTTTCCTCATTAACTACATTAAGACAATACAAAACATCTCAAAAAAGAAGATTTACAGCAAATATTGTTTATTTTTGGCCATTGCAACTGTTTGCCGTTATAGGTAAATTACTTTGGCATTAAATTTTCTTTGATCTGGGCTATTATTATATTATTGTTAAATAAATGAAATACCACAGTTCGCGAGTCTAATACTATTTGCTATACAGTGCTGCCAAATGCATTTGGTATATTATAATGATATTGGCTCTCGAACATGCATTAAGATAACATAGCAGTGTCGTCGAACGCGACTAGCGCAAGGTGCACCGACCATATGAGCCATATTACCGTTATCTGCCGACAGCATCTTGGAGTCGTGTCAACTGGACGCTAACAAACCGCTTTCAATTTCTAACGTCAAGTTGTAACTTTCCGAGCTGTCCATGCGGCTTTTCTGATGGCAAAAAATTTGATTTGAGAACCTCTTCTTTTTTTTTTACTACAATATTACCCTATTTTGAAACTGTAACCTAGCTAATGGTAGTTATAAATATTTTAATTATCTTTGTAGTATAATTGTAATTTGTGTAATGTAGTGTTAGCAAAAAGGATGTGATAATCTGAAATACAGCGATAATTTATTTTATGAAGCTTTCTCTAAAGAGATCAAGGTCGAAATATAAAGTTGTAAATAACAGGTTTATACATTAATTAAATTGCAATAAATACTTTAAATTAAGAAAATTTGTTGAAATCGTTCCGTGTATTTGGGTGTTGTAATACTACACATAAAGTTCAAATTATAACTATAAAAAAAAATATTAAAAGTTTTAACTTTTTACCTCTTATGCATACATTAATTAAAAATATATTATATTTAAATTATTTTATCACTTGTTTAAAATTGAGAAGTTAACATAAAGGAAAAATACAAACCACTTCAATAACTGAAATAGGTTTATTGTTCGTTGGTCATTTTTATAGGAAGGTTTGTTTGTGTATCTGTAGCATATATTTAGTGCGTGGTATAATAGTTGCGATGGGTTATTGCAATGGAAAGTGTGTTATAATAATAAAATAGGACTACAATATTTTATAAACATATTATGAATGGAAGATTTCAGAATTATAGTGACATCCATTAACCATGTTACATGTGGACGTATTTCGGCCACCTTTCAAAATAGTTCCCTGAAATCACTTGCGACATGATACATTTTTCCACTAACGTTAGATTGAGAGAAAGGAATTTAAATATTTTCGGTCACGTTCAACTGATAAATATTTTGTTTGTTTTTTATTTTTCTTAGAAAAATAAATAGATTTGGGTTAATAATAATCAATCATGATAAAATTTATGGCCATTATATGTCGTATGGTCCCGGCATAGAACGGGCCATCTCTTACTTTTTCGTGGGAGTCATAAGAGGCGACTAAGGGAAGGGACGAAGAGAATTATCTAGGGACGGACAGTAGTGTCCCTATTTAAACATCACTAACTGCGGTTACCAACCCTCCACCTATGTGTGACAACTACTGGCATAACTCTCTCTGTAAGGAAGGCCTATGTTCAGCAATTAACAGTTAATGGCTGATATGAATGAATGAACGAATTATTAAATTAAAACGGTATCATGATGAATATATTTGGAATTCAGCACTATTTTCAAGGGGGACCACGGGGAGATCGACCTGATAGGTATATTGCTGGTAATGGGATGCTAGAAATAGTAGCTGGCAGTCCGCATTACTAACAATCGCTTGCCCCTTGCTAGCAGGGTTAGGCTATTAGGTGTTAAACCCTACAATTGCAAAAATGATTTAAATGGCGTAATTAAATATCACCCCCTCTTTTTGGAAGTCGTTTGACAGTTTACATACTCGGATTAATACGATTACATATACTTTTTAAAAAATATAGTTAGAAAGAAACAAACTAAAACTTGAAATTCAGCCTCTACTCAATAAAATAAATTTTAAAAGGATTCGGATACTTTAAACATAAAAAAATATTTTAAGTCGCTTCAGTATACACGTAGTCTTTACATAATAGAAGATAGAGTTTGGGCATCAGAGCGTCGTACAAGATTTCACGAGAGGAATAATTTATAATGTGTAACTAACGCTACTAAGCGCATCCAAATATATTCTAAAATAAAGCGCGGTTTGGACGGTGCAACACTGGAACTCTCTACTATTTGGATTAGTCTATCCGGTTCGTGTCACATACTCAACAAGGGGTTATAAATATTGTCGGATTAACTTTACGAGTACTGTCGGTGATTTGACGTTTTACGATTATTTTTTTAACAAATCATTTAATTGCACTGCATTTTTAAACTACTTCCAAAAAGAAGGAATTTCTGTTTTGTATATTTTATTTTGTAGTTATAATATTTTAAGATTATATCGCTAATCTTAATTTTAATAATTATTTTTGCAATCTCTATTATGTTGCTCCCATATTAAATTACTAGCGAAATCATAGATTTAAATATTTACCGATTGTTTACCATGGGTTTTTCCATGAGACCATTCCTGTACAATTTTCCGTGAATGAAAGTACAAATTTACCTAATCAAGAACCTTTTAGATAGTTTCTAAATATTACTTGACTTATTATTTATTAGGCAAATAATATTTTATTCATTACAGTACATTACTCTATTAAGTCTAATAATTTGATGTAGGAAAAACTAAAATGTACTACAGTATATTTAAATTTTTTAAACTACTTACTTTGTGGGCTAAATACTAATCCCCATTATTCATAAAAACTAAAACCTACAAACTTATTTAGCTATTACAGTTTTCTCACTTTTTTTCAAATTAGAAATTTAGCATAAAAGAAAGAGACAAAACAGATGAATAGCTAAAATAGAATAATGAGTCTTGACATGTTGAACATAATTATCTTATCATAACTATCTCTATGTATAATGAAGTATAAATAAATAAATAAATAGTTTTTAACCTTGCAATTAAAAAGTTACTATAGATTTTAAATTTTAGGTTCATATTAAATCTAATTTGTGAATAGCTAGTTTAACTCCCTTGATCACTCGTAATTACTTTTTTTTTGTCCATAACAAAGTTACAAAATGGACGGAAATGTTCTGAATAACTTTGAGAAAACGATAGTACGGCAGCCCGTTATTTGTTTTTGCTATACTTATAATAACTTTTTAGCATTATTCATTATTTTATCTACTTATTTAAAATTCAAACTTGAAACATCTCAAATGCATTATATATTTTTTCTAAATTTCATCGGACGATCATATCAGATAACAACTAAAAATTTCAACACTCGAGATAAATATTCAGATTCCATTTTCTTTGACGTAACAGGTGCTTATTGTTATAAGTAGTTTACATCAATTTTTGGATTTTGACGTCAGTGTCTTAAAATGCAGAGGAAGGTACGAATGCGCGTAATGCATGATTTACTCAATGGTAACAGTGTCTGGTTATGTATCTATAAAAATATTCACTGCACTTGCTTACGATACGACAGTTTCCCGTCGTTCACAAAGGAACTATATACCTTGATGCCGTATTTATAAACATATAAGCGTATAGTTATGATAGTAATCATTCTTTCGTTATACAATTACTCTATTTAACCTGTAACTGCTAATATTTCCTATACAGCAATCCTGAAACACTGACAAAAATAACTTTTTTTATACAATATTTATTTTACTTTTCTGCTAGAACCTATAATATAATAGAGTATGCGTTCAACTGTAACAGCTTAACGGTTCCAAATCTTTCGACTCGGCCATTGCAATTTGACGGCGAATCTTACATGGCGCTAAAATGTTGTACTCTTGTAACATTATAGTAAAACGTTGATACAACTTGCACTTTGTTTGTACAATTTTCAAGGTTCATTTATATCTTAAATAAGTTATGATTACTATGATTCATCAGAATATACATGCCTGAGTCGCATGGAATTATAATAAAATAATATTCCCTTCTCATTCTTTGATGATACAGTAATTTGTGCGATAGATATATAGATACTCTTTATTGTTAGGTATTTTTTATACTTGGCATAAGTAAACAGTTTCGGTATGTCTTTTATAGAATTGGTCATTTAAAAATAAGACAGAAAAATACATAGTAAACAATGCAATAAACCTAAAAACCTTTTTATTTTGGCTATTCTATTATTTAATTTATGTTTTGTTATTTTAATAAAGAGACCATTTTTATTTGGCATATTTAGCTACGTATAAAAACAGATGGGTAAATAGATGGAAAATTTTCTTGGAATTTCTTTTTGCTTTTTTTTATATATGTTTTTTTATATAATGATAATATCATGTGAAAGAATGGATCTTTTACTGGATACTAATTGAAATGAAAATCTATCATTGTTAGATTGCAATCATAAAATATATTGTACATTTTTATAAAAAGTTATTAATATCGATCACCACCGTCTTCAATATCTAAATCCCATTTTGGCAAACATTGGTTGTCATATTGGCGGAGTCATAATTAATGCAATAAGATAATTTTCTTAACTACTGCTGGCCAAGATATGTTGCCAAATTTTCGTAAGGTCATGTATACCTTCGTAAATGATTTATTAAAATAGAATAAGCAGGGGCTTACGAAATACACATCACTTTTTTCGTAAACTGCATAATTATATGCATACTCCTTATGACCTATATTACTGGGTGCTAAATAAAAAAAAAATATTTTAAAACTATTTTCTTTAAAATCTTTATCTTTTCAGTGATACTTAAAATATAGTTGAAAATGATGTTATAAAATATTTAATACCGCATTTATCAATTCTTATCTAATCAGTTTATTGCATCTCTATGTTTTTCATTTTATTAATTAAATTGGAATTGGAACACTTGCTTGTTTATGATATATGCGGTGCATCTGCGGGGGCTGCAATCTCCTTTAGATATGTTAATTCTGTACAAGTGAGTCAGGAACGGACGCGAAGCCAACTTGCGTAATATTACGCCCATTCATGGCGCATCACAGGCCAATCTTGGAATCTGCTGTTTATGCGAATATTACTCTTATCTATACGATATAGAGCTTAGCGTTCAATGGTCCCTTACAATAAACGAGGGTGGGCTTGGTTTTTATTATCGAAATGCACCTTGCTTATGGTGTAACTTAATTGTGTCAGTCTGCACGTGCTCGCCGGAAATACCGGGTTTGTTTAGCTTGCAGATTTATTTCTGTCTGTATAGTGTCATCTGGGGGCGTCATCCTTTGCGGCGGTCATGAGTTGGGCGCGATTGGCTCGTGCTGGCATTGGTTTCGTAATGCACCCAGCGATGGGCCATAAACGTTTGCGAAATTGCTAATGACAGCAAAATAAAAATTTCTTGTCAATCTCTTACAATCGTTGTTAATTAATTGTATGCTATAATGTCCTAAAACTATTAACTAAATCAAGACTACTATAAAAATCTACATTCCCTTATTTAATGGGACCATAAATTGTGAAAATATATTATTTCACGGTATCGCTCGACTTGACGTATCATTAATCTATTTATACGGTGCAAACATTACAAATAGATTCACTCGTTTAAAATAACATAGTGGTACGCACCTGTCACTCTTACACGTCCAAGATCAACAAGGTATTCGCCGCGACTCGCTACAAAATTGTTAATTTATGTATTCAATATATTAATTTTATTCAGTACTGCTATTAAATTTGTCAGTGCAATTAGGAAAGTAGTATCTTGGATGCGGTATGTTGTTTTTGGTTAGTTTGTTTGCAATGTTACTTAATGTGGAAACCATTTTTTAATTGTTACTATTAAAATTTTACCCATCTACGGCAAAGGCAGTTAGAACTTCCAACACTATTTTCATTAAAATTGGACGTATAATTTAGGCGCTAATGTGAATCTATATATTAATACGTGTAGTAAAAACATTGCATACTTTACAGGAAAATTGCGTGGACTAAGGAGCATAAAATTTAGCACCTTATAGTTTATATAGAGAAGTGCAGGCTGCTAATATTTTTTTTAATTATGCATAAAAATACATTAATAAGAAAAACATTACCCATACTACCATGTATTTGACACACATACACACACACACACATATATACTCTTTTGTTTATTGTTAAATTCTGTGGTCAAATAGAAAATAGATTAATATTGTTTGTCTTTAATATTATTTGTGTATAGTCTTACTGAATGTCAAACATAACCATAATAAATTCATTTATTACAATATATGTTATGTTCGAATTTCGACTACTGTGCGACCACTAATATACATAAATACGAGTACAAATATACATGGGAAGTTAAAAACATAACCTTTCTAACTTAGAAGTATCAATTGATTCGTTATAATGTACTACCTAGTGACATAAGCTAAAACTAAGTTTTATATATAGTTATATAGCAGTAGTAGTATAGTTATATTTATCTTAAGTCTGGTTAAAATTTTGGAAAATTTTCCCTTTAATTTTCTATTTTTTCGGTAGCCACGTTAGAGTTTTATCTTCTTGTGCTGTAACATTCAATATTGGAAGAATATTTTAATTTTAATTCGATAGAAAATATAAATATGGAAACATGAAACTCCTTTCGGGTTCTCGAGTTTGACGGGAAGAAATGTTTTTATAATCTTAATTTATTAAAAGTGAACGTACAAAAGCATATAAATATACAAATGGTATAATATTAAAGTTATATATTCCAAATCGACAATCTAGTAATATTTGCATGTGTAATCCAAAATTCACTGATTTTTATTAAGTATATATTATAATACATATAATGTTTCGTTCCAATGTGAAGTGCTTATATCCACAATGTATATTGACAAATCGGTCGTACAATACCAAACAAAATGCCAACTTGGGTCTCGAAATGTACGTTAGTTAGGCCGATGATCGCGTTCCTTGGTACTCCGCCAGAATGGCCGATCCTTTTGGCTGTGGATGCTGTGGTCGTAGCGCGCCGGCGAAAATAATGTCAGTTCAGAGATTAACGAACTTCAGCCGCCTGACCTATTAAACGGGTGCAGGTAAATGCATTAATTAGTCGTATTCACATTGGAATTCAACCGTCTGTGAATTGTATAATGATATACCACATTAAATCAATGCGAACCTCTGCAACTATAACAACAAACCAGTTTTAATTTAGAAAGGCAAACTCTTAATAGTGTAGAAGAGATTAATTATTTAACGGCGATTTGATCAGTTCATTTATTTAAATAACTTTATTGATCAAATAAAATATGGTACAAAAGGCGAGCTAACATGATGAACAGTGGTCATCATGTCATGTATGCGGTATTTTATTATTAGGATAGGTAAAGATAATGACTGTATATAGGTGTAATACACCTATATTACACCTATATATAGTAAATAATGTATATACAAATAATATATATATATATATATATATATATATATATATATATATATATATATATATATATATATATATATATATATATATAAACCTGATGGTAAGTACCGCCGCCCATGGTCACCTCAACAACAGTTACTCTTTTTTAAATTAAAGGAGTAACTGAGTTTAATTTAAAAGAGTAGCTGTTGAGTTTCTTGCGGGCTATTACCAACAGATAATACATTTTGAACCCTGCAGTAGATTTAAAAACAAAAAGACAATTTAAAAGTACTTGTAAACAAGTCTATTTGAATAAAGAAAGTAGAAAGAGTTCATAAGGTGAGCATGGATTTTTTAATGTAATTTAATTTGGAAGCTCTCGGATATCTTCAGGCAGTGCATTCCAGAGTCGTGAAGCTGGGAAGGTGAAGAAGTCTGACATGAAGCCAGACTTGTAAAGTAGTGTGAGTAGTGAGAGGGAGTTATTAGAAGGAAGATAAAGATTATGAGAGTTTCAGAGATGTTGAATAAATTTCAGCATTTCACATATTCCAGAGAGGAAGGGAACAAAAGGATGAAGTAGAGGGTGCAAAGTAACCTTAGTTGACTTTGCTAACGTATGGGTAGCTAGATAAGTTGTGATCTATAATTGAAGATGTAATCTTTTTTACGGAGACGAAATATACTCGTAATATGAAATAAATACTTAGTAATTTTTATTAAAAACTAGCTTTTACCGCGATTTCATATGGTTTTAATTTTGGAAGTAGGAAAACAAATTACTTAAGTAATGTTAAGAAAAAACATATTTTAAGTTAGACCTCCAGGAACACAAATATGACAACCGCATCTAGTTGGGTGCAGTAGTTTGTGTATGTTCCCGGAACAAACCTGTTGACAGACAAAAATTAAAAAGAAATATTGGTTTCCATCTCGCTCTTATTAAGACGTTCATATAAACTTCTCTTTTACCGTGTTTCTATATTGCTATTTGTTGGCAATAATTTTTGCCCAATTATCAAACCTCTAACTTCGTTCATTTTTGGAATATAGGCGTAATAACCCTTAAGTTCAAAATTATTTTTCTACGAAACTACGATAGATATTGGAATGAAACTAAAGCTACATGAAAGCTTCTAGTTAGCTTTACATTATATATTATATCCTTCACGAAATTTATTTCTTCTTCTCTCATTGTCTTGTGATTTTTGTTCTGTTTTATAGATACTTTAATAATGTCTGATAAAGCATAACACGGTATAATGGTATCAAGTTCGATTTTAGAAAAATGTAATTTTTAGGATTTTCCCTGAATGCTCAGAAGGAAGTAGTCCTTAAGTTACTAATATTTGTCGTAAGTTGTAATATATTTTATCGTTTGAATCTTATCTACTGATTGTATTACTAAGAAAAGTAATACGGTGCTTCAAGCGAGGTTTGAAATGTCGGTGTGAAATAATATGACTTGTTTCCTTTATTTAATATATATTGTAGTTCTTTTAAAATAATGTTAATAGATTATTACAAATCTACATATTTCAATCAATTCTACGCAAAAGGTGATACATACGTTTAATTAATTGTTTTCATTCACGTGGGTAACCGACATCTAAAGTCATTCGGTCGTTAGCAATGTTTTTATATGCGTATATACTTTAATTACGAATATTATAGTTAATCATAAGTTTACTTGTTGAATAACAATCAATTAATCATCAAGATTCAATAAATATTTTAGTGTTCGTAAAATTACGACTAATAAATTTAACATAGTAATAAAATTAACATAGGTCAAAATTGCAAAAATAATTATCAACATCGGCACAGAACATAAACACAAAACATATAAAAAAAAAGTTAAATGAAAGTGGAGACCGTTTTAGAATATTAATCTAAAATACATTAAATTGATTGAACGTTATGTTTATAATAATAGAGTCTGATATCTAACGAGATTAAACAGATAAGATTAAAAAGTTATATTTGTCACTTAAAGGGATTAAATGATTTTGTGGGTGCGTACATGATAAATATTATATGAATCAACATTTTTTATTTCTTCGTCTACTCATAATATGAAGAAAGAATAGTCTATTTTTATTTTTATTAATAGGACTGCTACACAATTATATTGCTTTAAATTAATATACTGCAATAGATTGCATACGATGTAGAAATAGGGAATCATGGAGATAGAGAACTATACCAATTACTGACTTAATTAATATACATATATGTATACGAGTCTGTAAACACTCACTGAATTATATTTTTAATATTATTTTGAGTCATCTGAGGCATTACAAAAGTCTTAGTAAAAATAATTGATTATCATTAGAAAAAAAAAAATGTATTAGCGTAATGTCTTAATGCTATTTGTGTATTGTATCAACAATAAAAAAATTGTAAAATATAAAAAAAAACATACCATCTTTCTCTTTTGGCGATTGTAGAGTAGAAATAATATTCCACAGTCAATTCAATACAATGATTATATATTGGAGTTGTTGTAAACGTAATAAACTCTCATTTCAAGTTAAACCTATGCACTCGCCCTTATATTAATTGTTTATTCTTTACTTTCAGGTAATTAACCTTCACGTTCCTTTTTCTGAACGACTGAATGCTTGGCAAATCTATAGAGTTCCGGTGAGTCCAGGGACAAACATCTTGGTGGCTAATTAGTTGCGGTTGGCAAACTTCGAATTGGTGTACCGCTCGTGAAAATTAGCCTTTATTTTTTAAAAGTAATGCCATTAGTTTTAGTATAAACAATTATTGATATAAGTACGAACGATGAATATACCTGGGACGATTGTATAGGGGATAGTCTGCCCTTCTCTTCTGCCAAGTGTGTCGACTACGTGTAAAACGCCCCAAGGGGGAGGCCTATGTTCAGCAGTGGACACTTAACGGCTGATATGATGATGAATATACCATATTTACTACACTATATTCTGTTATCAAAACACTCATTGATTTACCTATACATGTTGGACACGAGTTTTGAAGAAGAATGATTTTAGTATAGGTCTACTCTTGTACTGGGTGTTGCTAGAAAAAAATTAAATTTTAAAAATATATGGTTTATTTTCAACTTGTGGCGCCACCTGGTGTCGTAATATAGAATTGTTGTTGTGATGTCCGTATTCTAAACTAACCAGTTTAGAGTCGCTCTGTGTTCATAAATAATTGTTTGCTAATCATCATTATTCTATATTAATTAAGTATATATTAATTATTATTATATATACACTATTATTATTTTTTACCTATCCCAGTAATGAAGTACCGCGTTCGTGATTCAGTTTATCCCAAAGGTTGACAGGTAGAGAATGCTACTAGCATTAAGTCCGCCTTTTGTATCATATGT